GACTGTGGAAACAATAGAAAAAGAATTTATCGTTAGTGTGAGGACAAGAAAATCCTTTAAAATACAAAAGTTGTATGGTTGTGGTTATAAAGGAAGTATTTTGTCTGATTATGGGCCGTGGAGTCAGCTGGACTCCCTCGCTCTCACAGTTTTTCTGTGTAACATGCAGTTTTAAGCAATTTGTGACTTTAGAAAGGATATTTTTCGGTGTTTTGGACGTACCTTAAGGCTTCTGGTTAGGGTATTCAGGAGATCCTTCCTCTCGGACAGATTTAGTGAGAATGACTGGAGTTTCAGCCTGGGGACCTGACTCCACCCACTTTTACACACAGGAGTCCCGCAGTCTAAAAATAGCACAGGGTACTGCGAAAAGCAGCTCTGAACCTCTCAGGATCATCTTTATGAAAACCATAAAATTAACAAATAATCAGTCAGGAAATAAAATATTTGTTAAATCTTGCTATAAAACAAAATCCAATAATTGTCTTACCTCAACTTTAAGAACCATTAACGTTAATGGCTGGATTTTGAGATGCTGAATAATGAAAAAACAGATAAACTAAGTATTATTTCCTGTAACCTGGCTAGAAACTGTACTAGGCTGTTTTGAGTTAAAAACTGGTAGTTATTTTCCCAAAATAAAATAGATAAATAAAAAATGAAAGGAGGGATCTTGCATTTGGGATAGATTGTGCCTAAAGTTTAAAACCTGTGTAGAACTAATTTGATGATTCAGAAAAAATTGTGCATAGGAAATAGTCTAGATTTACCTTTGAGTCAATAAAGTTGACTAAATATTAGAAACCTTCGTTGATTTTGATTTGTAAAAGAGAAAGTTCTGTCCTTTCAACTCAATCAACATATTTAAGGAAAACGTTTGCTGTGCATTGTGGAGGCATGAACTTTACTGGGTGGGCCTGTCACAACCAGCTGCAAAGAATGTTTGGGTCTGACTTCTATACAAAGAGAACCTGGAAGCCCTCACCAAAAACTGTGACTTATAACATCAAGACGGGGAGCACTACAAGATGGACAAAGAGGCAGAAACTTATTTGCCCTGCTGCTGATGAAACAAAGTACAAAAGGGGGAGCATGTGTGCTAACATGTGAACTTTAATCAATGACGGTGGTCATCCTGGACTTACAAAGAGAGGCTCAAAAGAGACTGTTTCCTATGGTTACACCCAGTAAAAGAGTGCTTGCTGCAGTCAGGTAATGAACAAGGCTTTTTGGCAACAACCAGTTGAATTGATGAAATGTCAGAACTGTGGAAAATTTACTAAACTACTGTAGAACATAGTTAACTGAGAAAGTTAGCCTAAAAAAAGATAATAATAATATCAATAAATAAATAAATAATAGGATTAGTAACCTGGATTTCAGCCCAACTCACCATTGGGCGTCAATATAATCTTTATTGTCCTAGGATTCTCAGCTGCAGCGGACATGCAGTAAAGCCTTATTTTCTTTTCAAAACGGAATACATCAGCGTCATCACTTATCTTCATTAGTTAAGGAAACGGTGTCTATTTATAAGTCTAGGAGAACGCTTTAGGCTTCAACAGTTCTCTCCTTCGAGCAAACATGCGCAAATTTCCGGATAGTTTATAGTAACGTTCCATCCCATTCCATTCATTGCATAAAAATAAACATTAAATGAATAATTTGGCATCCAGCTGACTAAATGATTCATGGAACATCTCATCCGAGACAACAGTGTTGTTTCAGCTCCGTTGAGTTTCCCAACAGATCTAGCCAAACCTAGCTGATCCTATATTTTTCTATCAGCTGTAAGTTCTAACGTAGAAAATAATGTCACAAAAATATTGAATAATTGTACCCCTCATTCGATAAAAATTATGTTCACATTTTTATCTTGTGAAATCTTTAACATAATATTTTTAATTGGCCTTTTTGACGACAATTGGCTAAAAAGTCTTTAAGATTATCATCACAGGATGGCATGATAAATAAGTAAATAACATAAATAAATAAATAGACAAAAATAAGAGAGAAAAAGCAAAATTAATTAAATGAAACGTAATAGTGATAAAACGTTAAATTGATCTAAAATCTGTCATTCAGCGCCACTGGAAAAAGGAAGAGGATAGGGGAGTATTTCTTAGCACAAATCACGTTATTGATTTAGCAATGCAGCTTAATTTCAGATGCTTTAAGGATGATACTAACTTGTGTTATAGATGGAGGAGTAGCACAGAAACACTTCTAGATGTGGAGATAAGGAAAAAAAACTGCTGATTACCAATACTATGCACAAACAAACCTGTAACTGCAGTTTCGTTATTTATGAATTAACCTTAAGTAGTGAATTAATTCTTAGGATTTATTGTGCGAGTAGTGTTCCTAAAAAAGAAAGAAAGAAAGAAGGTAAGAAAGACAGGTAGTTTAGGTAAGGGACAACCTGAAACTTTTTGGTTGAATTGATAGTAAAGTGATTGTCCTAATTTCTAATTGGAGAGATCACATCGCAACGTGAGTTTAGAACAGCAGTTATGGGAAGTTTTGTTGGATTAATTTGATTACACGCTTTAGGTCTTATTTTTTCTTTCCACTGATTTAGCGTTAGGTTAAGTATTTCACACTTTCGCTTCAGTCTGACATTTGCTTGGTGTGTGAGGGCACAGAGACGTGTATGGACCGTGTGTTTGACTGTGTTTGTCTTGTTTGTTTGCTTATTTATCTATATGGGCATGGCCGAGCCTTGAGAAACATCAACAAAGACATTGGACTATTCTGAGTAAATTAACCAATTCAAATTCAAATTCAGGATCCTGAAACAATTTGGTTATAACCTCTAATTGATGAAGGACATCTTAAGAATTCATTGTACAAGGCATCATCTCCAGTGTTGCTGGAACTGTTATAAAACCCATGCATGGTTGTATATTTTAGTTTGATCATTTATACTCATTGAATTATTGTTGTTTGCTTTATGTTTTAATTTCTTTGCAATTTTTTCTCTGTGACACAGGTGGAGATGCTGGTGGCAAAATGGATCCCACACATTTCTTTCTCCCACACACATTCTTACTCTCTCCCTCTCTCTCTGTGTATGTGCATGTGTATGTGTTTGTGTGTCTGTGTGTCCATGTCGTGATGTCACTGTACCTTTAATTGCGCTTGCTGTTCGTAACTGTATGTGTCTGATGTTGAAGGTATCAGAGGCTAGGGTCAGTAAGAGCTAGGACATTTTTGTGCATAACCTCTAATCCCTAGGCGATCGGTCCGGGGAACTTCTGGTCCGGCCGGAGTGTGAATCTTCCTACCAACTATCTGCCGAGATCAAGGACTGCACAAGCCGAGAAAGCCTTCATTGGACCAAAACTACACACACGAAGAGGCTTCATCTTCGGTGCCAGGCGTCTGGGTCCTGCTGAAGGTCACCAAAAGGAAGTGGACGGAACCGAGGTGGACCGAGCCATACAGGATCACGGAGAGGACGTCACACGCTGTCCGGCTGGACGGGAGGAGCCTAACCTGGAAGAGAAGCAGCTGACATCTGCCTAACCAGAGAAAGGATCCAAAAAACCAGGAAGAGAAGTAGCTGACTACAGTAGCATGCCAAGCTGCCACCACATCCTGCAGGACGAGAATCTTGACATCATCACCCCCTGCAGCTGCCTGGAGCCAGTGAAGGGTCCTCAACAGGGGGAAGAAGTAACCACCCTATGAACATTCTACAAGGGTTGTATTTAACACCCTCATTTATTTTAACAAGGGTAATATTTTACACCCTCCACCTGCTGACCCAATTATCCAGATGCCCTTGTTACTAGCCAATCCTAACATCTATTTGGGAGGGGAACTCTCTGATGATAGTGATGACTCTCATGATGAAGAAGATGTTGTTAGAGTGTGAGAATGTTCAGTGATTTATGTAACCATCCCTTCACCAGTTCATTTTTATGATTTTTTTGTTTGTTTTGTTTTATTTTTTGTTGATCATTGATGTCCTAGGCATGCACACTCTATGCCAACAGGTGTTCGCCCCAAAATTGAGATATGACAAATGGGGGGACATGGGGGAATTTTCCCTATAAACATATGATAATTAGGGTTTTTCGCCCTCATATGGAGTTGCATGCGATCCATACATGTTGTAACATGTTCTGTTGAAAGTATGATCATGTTTTTTGTATTAGTTTACTGCTAGAAAGATGAGTAAATGTAATCTGATTGGTTGTTTGTATTGGTATTTTAAAACTTTGCTTATTGGATTCTTTTTGATGGAATTTGGTGTTATTGTTTTGATTTCTTATATCTTTATTGAACTCTTAAAAGAGTTCAAAAGGGGGATTGAAAATATATATCTCTCATATAAGCTCTTTCATATATTATTATAAGCTCTTTTATATGATTAAATATGTATCTCTCACTTTTGCCCCTTATATATTATTATAAATACATTATTATATGCCTTTTCATGGAATCTTGTTATAATATCAAAGACCTCTCTGTGCCTTTTCTGCTCAAGCTGAACAGCTGCATAAGGGAGTGAAAGTGTTCCTTCCTTCAGTTCCTCAATACAAGAACAACTGTCTTTGTTAGCAAAGGATGTTGCAGGATGTGTCCTGATCATCTCAAGGTTGCATGTCCTTGGGATGAATTGGTCTTTCATTAACAAGGCTATTAGCTGACGTGCGTCTGCAGGTGCAGATGATGGCAGAATTACGTGTGTGTATGGCAAACTATGTATGTAACATTCCTGTAATCTTCAATAAAAATCAGCCGTTTTCAGCAGAACGGCGAGAGTCTGTCCGAAGCATCTGGCAAGAGCAGGTCGCGGGACTTGCTGCAGAGACTCTCCCCCTCATGAGCGGCGAAACAGTGAATGGACTTCTGATCATTTGTCTCCTCGTTCTGTCAACTTAAAAGGTGTTTAACTCCATCTACTCCGTACCCGTGCTTGGTCTAAAGGAAGAGAGACCAACACTGGCATTGACTTTGGATACTGCATCCTGGGTGACTCTGCTTACCCGCTACAAGACTGGCTGCTGAAACCCTTCACAGACACTGGGCGTCTGACAGAGCAGCAACTTCTTTATAACAAGAAGTTCAGCCAGGCACGTGTGGTGGTTGAAAATGCCTTTGGTAGGCTGAAGGGAAGGTGGCGTTGCCTGCTGAAAAGGAATGACTGTGATGTCAGTCTGGTGCGTTCCATGATTCTGACCTGCTATGCCCTGCATAATCTGTGTGAGAGCCATGGGGAGCATTATGACAATGTGTGGACGACTGAAACAGAATACCCTGAACCTGTGGCTGCACCCCCACCGCCACAAAACACAGGAGATGTGGGAGGGAGAGCAAAGCGTGATGCTCTGATGATGCACCTTGTGGGGCAGCAGTGATTTAATTTCATTTGACTGAATGTTTTGCCCAAATAAAGTTTTCTCCACGCAGCTAATGTTTGACCCTTACGATTTTTAATGCACCACCATCTAAACATTGTAAACATGAGCAAATACATTTCATGAGTTTGTATTAAGTCAAGTGTGGACTGTACACATTTGAGCTTCTGGGACTTCTAAACACGCCTGCTGACATAAAGGAAATACTCTTAAATCCAAATAAATTATATGGACATCATGTCCAAATGAATGCAGATCAGCTAGATAAATTTGACTTAAGCAATTGTTTTATGCACATCCAAGGCTTAGCCATGACTCAAGTCGTTATGGCACGTGCAGGTAAATATTTCGACTCTACATTGCCTGACAAAAGTTCTTAATAGCCAAGTGTGGGGGGCACATTTTAGCTTCTGATCCTGCTCTACACTCCTGACATAACATAATCCTGTCTACACTGACACCTACCTGGTATTTATTCCTATATAAATCTGAGATGAATAGAGCAAATACCCAAGGCTGTTGTATGCTATTTTAGCACACAGCTATATATTGGAACCATGACTGGACCTTTCCACTTCACATTCTGTGAAAAGAACAATGATGGATTACACGTTGCATTGTCAAACACTTTATTGCACACCTAACATAATAAAAGGAAATCGAGTCATTTGGTTGATTTATCAACAGCAGACACCAAACTGCGCAGCACATCCAGAAAGGAGTCATTGAATTGCTGCTGTGCCATCCTCTCCTCTCGTCTCTCAGCCCGCTCCTCGCGTCTCTCCTCCCTGTCCAGGCGTCTGTCCTCCCTGTCCAGGCGTCTATCCTCCGCATCTGCCTCCATTTGCTGCTCCATTAAGCTGTTCATCCTCCTTGTAGTCTCCAGGAACCCCGCATCACTCTCCACCAGCGTCTCCAACAATGGGGACACGCTGGTGCTCCCCCCGCTTCCTTTTTCCTGAACAAACGCCAAGAAGATGTATATGTAATCACACGTGCTTGTCATATTTTGATGTTGTTGTTGCAAATGAACACACCGTAGCGTGGTCTGCCCACCGACGGCGCTGAGACGCTCGGGCTGCAGCTACGCCCGCTGTCGGCAGATGAGGGCCCAGCGTCCATGTCCCCGGTGTCGGGCACGTCCTGGCTCCCATCGGCGCACATTTCCAGAGTTACCTCTTTTACAAAGAGAAAACAGTTACTTAATATGCACAAACACAAGTACTGACCGAAGAAGTTAATGGGCAAGCTAGGCTAGTAGGCATGCCACACCTAGCCTGGAGTTAGCCTAGCCTTTTGTCGCCTAGCCTGTTGTTGTTATGTCGCACATCAGCGCTACCTAAAGCTAGCACAGCATTTCATCCGCACTATAGTACAGTGTAGCACGAACGGAGGTCATATTATTACTTATTATGATTAGTGCTCACTCACCGTTGTCCTGAGGTCCAGTGTTAGCTGGAGTGGCTGTGTCCACGCCACTCTCGCGGCCATTGCTCACAGGCCTCTCACCATAAATGGCGTCCATTTCAGCAAACCACTTCCACTGCCGCCTGTCTGCTCCACTCCTGCTGTTGTGGTCCTTGACGGACCTGTACTCAGCCTTGAGCTTTTTTATTTTTTCTCGGCACTGCTTCGAGGTGCGTTCAAAGCCGTGGGTGAACATCGCCTGTGCAAGCCCCTGAAATATCTTCTCATTACGCACCGTGCCATCCAGTTCGCGCTGGATTCTCTCGTCGCTGAGCAACGAGAGGAAGGTTTTAACCTCTTCATTGCTCCAGGGGTTAGGAGATGAGGTCTGGGAGCAGGGAGAAGCCATCATGTCAACACTGGTGAGTTTGGAGGTTTGAGTCAGGGCGCGATTCTGTGACATCACTAAATAACAACGCAGGGCCAATCAGACGATGTTATTGAAGGGGAGGGTAATACATGGCCTGACCAATCGGTGGACAGTGGGCGTGTTGGGCCAGGTCAGCCTGAAGCAGTACCCCTCGGGAAGAGGGCCGAGAATGGGCCTTGGTTGGCCTGGGAAAATTCCAGGCCACCCAGGTATGTAATCAACCTACGCTGCCCGGCCCGACCCGGTACAGGTGGGAATGGGGCTTAAGTGGAAGGTGGTTACCAAAATAAAAGCTGGATCTAGCTAACTTCTTTATAAACTCTTGCTCCGAACCAGAACTTGTTTTATCTCCGGTTCTATTCTTCTGAACATGTCCGACTTGTTGGACAGCATTCTTTTTTCTTTTTTTTTTTTGTGGTCCTCCATTTTAGGATGAGATTTATGGTTTTTCTAGGACTGAAATGAGGACATTTCATTTAAAGAGAGGGAAGAGTGTAGGATGAGATTTATTGTTTGTGTCTGGTGAATGTCTGGCGGAGTGATACACCCGAGAGAGGGTGCTGTTTGGTCAGTGGAGAGTCAGCAGGGAAAAAAATAACGGTTAAAGTTATGGTTGCAGCTCTGATGAAGACGTTTCCCCGTGTCGTTTCTTCGATCTCTCTCTACCCTTGACCCTCGAGTATAGTAACATTCAGCTCATCCAGAGTGTTACACTAGGTTTGAGGAATACTGTAAATTGTTTTGCACTGTGGGCAACTGACTCAAATGAATTTAAAAAAATGTGTTTTGGTGAGTCAGTTCAGTAAAAAGAATCAAGTCAACATCAAGGATTTAGTCTAATTCAAGTGGAAAATCATTGTGATTAGATACATGAAATGAGTGATGCATTAAAGTACAAGAGACCCAAATTATTAACAAAAAAATACAATAATCTAGAAAGACAGTTATACCAGGGTTTTCAGTCTGCATCTTGAACATATTGCACTGACACAGGAACTAGTTGGTTTTCAAACACAGCTTCAGGATTTTCAGTGACAATCACTTAATAACCGCTTGACAAAGTACTGAGGACACTTTTCCTTTCACTTCACGTCAAACTTGAATTAACAGGGTTAGGGTTGGCATTTGATACTAGGATTATTTCTCATTAGAAAATGTGGGTGGCTCTTAAAAGAGCCTTTGGGTTCGTGACGTTAACCAGGAGTTTACTTGGAGCTGGTGTACTTGGTAACAGCCTTGGTGCCCTCAGAAACTGCGTGCTTAGCCAGCTCACCGGGCAGCAGAAGGCGGACAGCGGTCTGAATCTCCCGGGAGGTGATGGTGGAGCGCTTGTTGTAGTGCGCCAGACGAGAAGCCTCAGAAGCGATGCGTTCAAAGATGTCGTTAACGAACGAGTTCATGATGCTCATGGCCTTGGACGAGATGCCGGTGTCGGGGTGGACCTGCTTCAGGACCTTGTACACGTATATGGCATAGCTCTCCTTCCTGGTCCTCTTCCTCTTCTTTCCTCCCTTGCCAGCGGTTTTGGTCACCGCTTTCTTGGAGCCCTTCTTGGGCGCAGACTTGGCAGGTTCAGGCATTTTACGATTGCAAAATCAAACGACAGTAACGCTGAGTGCTACGGAGACTTTTTTATACAAGCTTGAGGCTAATTTTCCTGCTCCATCTCCCGCCTGTGATTGGTTGAATACATCAGCTAGTAAATAGGAGGTGGGGTTTGTTAATCTAAACAGCGGTTCCTGATGGCATTTTTTGTAGAAAGGTTCAGTAATATAACATTTTAAACACACAGAAATCGCTAATATGTTTCTGTTCAGTCCCAGACCCTACCTGAAATCTATGCAGCAATGCCAGTTTGTCCATAGTGTTCAGAAATTAGATCATAAATGAAAAAATACTTCCAAAAACTATTGACATTTAAGGAGCATTTCCTTTAAACAGCATCATATATTATATGTACTTTAAAGTAATTGTTCTGTTCTGTTCTGATTAATTTCCCAACCAATGAATCAAAAACTCTCATAAAATGAATAAAGCTGAAGATAGTTTAAATAAAATACTAATTGTTTTTTATGACAAAATAAAAAATTTAAGCAGGTCGAACTGAAGTAAAAATTTTTACAAACTGAATCCAATCTGCATTTAATTTTTGAAACCCCGCCAAGGATCTCAGCCAGCGCGGACCTCCCTGTCCCGGTATCGACCGAAGTGGGCTAAAGAAGTCCCGTCTTTTCAGCTGCACAAAACACCCCCAGGCATGAAGATAGAGGCATTGTTTCTTATTTGTAAACCCGTGGACTCGATGTACAGGCAGGCTGGAGTTTGTACAGCCTTCTCAAACAATGGTTTATCAAAATGAACACGATCCAAAACTAGTACACACACACTGACTCGATAACACAACCTCTCTACCCTAAAACTACACACTCTCTACGATGAGCTGAGGCAGTGCCTGGCTTCTTTGGTTACGTCAGTGGTTAAGATTTAGAAAAACAGAGCATTTTTAGAAAATTTGCTGAGAAAGGCCACTTTTTACTTGAAAAACTGCAATGTTATGAATTTTAAAATGAAATATGAATTAGAAAAAAAATTGACCTGCAATTTGCTCTATAACATCTGTCCCACCCATGATGAATTTTTAATGAATATTTTCATAAAATGAAATGACAAAAATTGTTTATTGTGACTGTAATGCATTAATGTACAGTTAAATTGTTTGACTACATGTATAGTCAAGAAGCTTTAATAAACAAAACTTCTACAATTTGTGATAAGAGTGTAAAGCAATAAAGCACTTTAAAATTACAATATCAAGGTTCTAAGTGTGGCCCATTAAAAACCCTGTACCATAGGACAAGGGCACCTTAAAGTAATTGGTCAAGGCAAACAGTTTTTGAATGTCACGTGTAAAACAGCAATAAAATCTCAGCTGAAAAAGGTTTTGGGATTTTCTAGAAAATCCAATGTCTTTAAGTAGCGCTCTCAAAACAAGGGATAGTTTCCACTGGAGCTTTTGACAAGTGACTAAAAGTTGTGCCCACATTTTTAAAGTTAACACACATTTGTTTTAACAATGGTAGTTTTTGCATCTTTACTGTTCCCCTGCTTCAGCCCTCTCCCCCTCCCCCTGCGCAGCAGCCTCAAACTCAGTGGTGCGCCTGCAGGCTCTCAGAGTTCCCCGCTGCTCTAAACATTGAAAGAATAATTTAATTTTCTGTTCATCACTTCTGTGGCAATGATCACCTTCAATGGTGTCTGTTTGTTGCAACCACCAGGTATAAAAACAAACAGTTTTTTTATTTGACTATTTTTCTGTCCTGTCTCTGTCTATTATCCTGCATCTCCTCTCAATCCTAAAGAAAAACTGCTACCTGTGCCCTTTGACTTTCAAATAAATCAGCAAGAGATTTTTGACGGGTGCAGACCTTTTATTAATTTCTCTTCTTTGCTACTTTGTCTCATCATGAACATCATGGGAACAATGAGCACCGGAATCATTTCTTCACCAATGATCGCAGTATGTCTCGTTTAATCTGCATGAATCTAATATGCATGGGGTTGTCAGAGGAGTTCTATTTCGTCTAGTCTTAGCCCTTAAGCGAGCTGCTATTGGAAAGATGGTGGTATATAACCGCAGTGACCCCACTGCTCACCTCCTTTTTCTCTTCATGCCAAGCTTGAGAGCTTCCTTAAAGAGCAATATTATCCCTGGAAGAGTAAATTATCCAGAAGACGACATACCAGCCATGTCCAGCGACGCCAGACCCTGCCCGACCTGCCAGACGGGCTTCATTTCCAGCGGCGACCTGCACGCTAAGTGTGAGGTCTGTCTCGGGGCTCACCACGCTGGCCTGGCCTTGACCCCACAGGCCTCGTGCCCGTTCTGTGCCGCTCTGCCCGTGGCAGAGAAGATTCGCCGGGTCGAGTACTTCACTCCCGCCGCCGCCGAAGAATTTCTGGTAGCTGACTCGTACCCGCTGGACAAGGCTTTGGATTTCTGCTTCTGTTTCTGCTTCAGCCCTCTCCCCCTGCTTCAGCCCTATCCCCCCTCCCCCTGCGCAGCAGCCGCAAACTCACTGATGCGCCTACAGCCTCTCGGAGTTCCTGCTGCTCTAAACATTAAAATAATTATTTCATTTTCTGTTCCTCACTTCTGATTACCTTCAATGGTGTCTGTTTGTTGCAACCAGCAGGTACAAAAACTAACTTGTTTTTATTTGACTATTTTTCTGTCCTGTCTGTTTATTATCTTCCTGCATCTCCTCTCAATCCTAAAGAAAAACTGCTACCTGGGTTCATATATATTCACCTCATGAGTTACCTTTGAACTGCAGTTCTAAAAGATCAACCGACCGCAAAAACAGCGGAGCGCTCGCTGTTTGGCGGCTGTATCAGTGATCAGTGCGTCGGAGGACAAGGTGTTGCGCGCAGCGCCCCGCTCCACAGCATGCAGCGAAACGCATCAGGCGCAAATAAAAGACAGAAAACATTAAAGGAAATGAACTGACATGAACAATCGCGTGTTAAATTAGTTTTTGAGGTGGCGACACCTGATTGTTACTGTGGCCGTGCTCAGGAGGCAGATCTACTGACCGCGAAAACAGCGGAGCGCTCCCTGCTTGGAGGCCGCATCAGTGATCTGTGCGTCGGAGGACAAGGTGAAGCGCCCCGCTCCACAGCAGCGATACACATCAGGCGCAAATAAAAGACAGAGAACATTAAAGGAAATGAACCGACATGAACGGCGTCAAATCAACAAAGAAATTAAATTAAATATTTCCACAGTTAAATCAAACAAATGACAATGAATAACCACATCTAACTGCGGCAGCTACAAGATGTATCATTCAAAAATCATGTCCAGACAGTTTCTCATAAAATTACTAGTTGTTTACGAACACTGTACTGTTCTATCAATTGTTTTGACCTTGCAGTACAACATATTGCAAATCAGCTTCTGCTTCCTATTTTTGATTATGCAGATATAATCTATCAGAACTCTTCCTCTACATGCCTTCATTCCTGGATGTTATCTACAACAGTGTCTGTCGTTTTGTTTTACGTTGTCCGTTCTGAACCCATCATTGTCAAACATATGAATGCCTTTCATGATACTCACTGAAAGCTAGACATCAACATCATTGGTAATTGCTTTCTACTTTTAAATGTACTCCGATTTTCCTTATTTGAAAGTCTTGTTAGTTCCTGTGATCCCTGAGCATCAAACTTGATCTAATAATCATCTGTCATTTGTTATTACCCGGTTTAGAAAATAAGTGGGGAGACATGCCATTTGTGTTAAACTCCCTCTGACTAGAATAAGTCCGAGGTCCATTTCTTCAATTTGTCGGTTTAGAAATAATCTTTACCAGCATTTATTAGTGATTCACGAACGAATTGAATCTTTTGAAACGATTTTCAAAGTGAATGATGAGAGCCGAGTCCCTGCAGAGAGCCGTTCATCTTAACAAACCTCCCTTGAAGTCGGTCGAACTCACCTGCTCAAACTCCTCCCACTGCTGTGACCACAAATAAGGTATTAAATGTAGCTACAATTGTATTTCCACACTTTGTCAACATTAACATTTAATACCAGTCTTAACATGTAGATTTCTTTAATCTTTTAAATGTTTAGACCAAAGGCAATTTAATTCCATACAGGAAGGACAATTTCTCATTTTTCAAAAGTTAGTGGCCCTGAAAAGGGCCTTTTTGGGTATGTCTTAGAATTACAATTTAACCTCCGAAGCCGTACAGAGTGCGTCCCTGTCTCTTCAGAGCGTAAACTACATCCATGGCAGTTACAGTCTTCCTCTTGGCATGCTCGGTGTAGGTGACTGCATCACGGATGACGTTCTCCAGAAACACCTTGAGCACCCCGCGGGTCTCCTCATAGATGAGACCAGAGATACGTTTGACTCCACCACGGCGAGCCAAACGGCGGATGGCAGGCTTGGTGATACCCTGGATGTTATCACGGAGAACCTTACGATGACGCTTGGCGCCTCCTTTTCCGAGTCCCTTGCCTCCCTTGCCTCTTCCAGACATGGCTATAAGAGTTGTAGTTTATCGAATGGTAATACTGTAGAGGCTCAAGAGCCTTTATGTCACACTAAAGGACGTGTTAGAGAACAGGAGCATCTGCTGACTTTTTTCCTGTTTTGTTGTAGCGCCATCAAGTGGTCTTAATAGGATTCATTAACACATTTATATATGTTGAAACTTATTTTTTTCCTGTAGATTGGCTAACAACGCAGGGTTTTTGTACACTATGTTAAACCGTCTATAACGTAGATCAATGTTTAATTAGTTAGAACAGTATTTTTGTAATCTGCAGTTAGGGGATTTCAGAATACTTCCAAAACTGTGCATGAGTCTAGTTTCATTTACAATGTTACTTTGTACTAATAATTATGTTACATATTAATGACTTCCTGTACATTGATACTTTGTATCTGCTGAACACTACCATGTATTCAGGATTTCAGATCTTCTGTAGTAATCATTCTTCTATCCAAACATTTATGTGTAAGATTTCCTGAAATTTAGGGTGTATGCACATTTTATTGGTTTCCAAAAATAGATGAACAATTTGCATTATGAATGAATAAATGAGATTGTTTGAACATGTGTGTTTGTGACTTAAAAGTTAAACAAAGATCAATGAACCAGGTAATTATACAGAAAAGACATATTTTGAGCAGAACAAAATAACAATAAAGCTGTTCTGTTCTGTTCCACTAATTGTGCTCAAAGCTACTTTATTTTTTTTTTAACTTTCAAAAGTCAAATACAAGATTGACAAACTCTGTTTTACAGATTCCATTAGTAGAATACTCTGGTCTAGCTTTAGTTAGAGCAGAAATGCTCTAAAAATGCTCAGGGACTGGAAAAAGTGGTTGAAGTAGCCCTTTCAGAATGGGAAACAAAAATGCAACAAACTTCAGCTTCTGTCATGCAAGCTGATGATGTGGAATGACCTTTTTACATTTTTATATACTGAGAAAATTAACGAATGTAGCTTTAAAGGTACTGAGGTGTATTAATAAACATACACAAGTCATGTTTTAGATTAAGTAGAAACATTTAATTGCTAGAATGTTACTAGTGCAACAATGTTTATTTCGTTAAAGTCAATGTTTGAAACGAACCGGAGTTATAATATATTAGCCTGGCAAGCCCTTTGCATAGCAAGAATTTGGTCTAGTTCACTAGGCTAATAATATATTATATACGTTTTTAATTCTTTTTTTACAGAAGTTTCACCTTAAAATTTGAGGTCTGCGTGATCACAGGTATGTTTAATGTTTCAACGACTCTTAATTATTTGAAAAGTTAGCATTAGGAAATGTATATAATCTGACCTACTTGAGATTGATGGGTAATAATTATTTGTGCCCATGTTAAATTTATTTTTAATTTAAGCATTTTTTTTCCTTGCAATGAATTAAAATGTGCAAATCATCCATGAATTGAATTGTATGTTCAACATAAGCAGCTAAAGACCAGTTTCCAAGTGTAAAATAATTTAGACAGTTGATAGTTGACCTTGATGGCTAAAAGTAAATCTGTTAAATCCGAAGACAATATTGCAAAAATTGAAATACATTTTCAAAATGTAAAAAAATAAATCTGTTAATACAGAAAACGCTCTTTAGATGATATGGTGGCTCTTAAAAGAGCCTTTGTGGAGCTGTGATGTGAAGTGAGGAGTTCACTTCTTCTTGGGAGCTGCCTTCTTGGCTTTGGGTTTGGCTGCCTTCTTAGCTGGTGCCTTCTTGGCTGCAGGAGCCTTTTTGACCACCTTCTTGGGGCTCTTGGTGGCTTTCTTGGGGCTCTTGGCTGGCTTCTTGGCCGCTGCGGGCTTCTTGACCTTCTTGGGGGACTTCTTAGCAGCTGCGGGCTTCTTGGCTGCTGCTGCTGCAGCTTTCTTGGGCTTCTTGGCCGCTGCGGGTTTCTTGGCTGCGGGCTTCTTAGCTTTGGGAGCCACGGCTTTCTTTGCGGGCTTCTTGGCTTTAGTCTCCACCTTTTTGCTCATCTTGAACGACCCGGAGGCACCGACTCCCTTAGTCTGGACCAGAGTGCCTTTGGACACCAGGCTCTTGATGGCGGTCTTGACGCGGGCTTTGTTCTTGTCCACATCGTATCCTCCAGCAGCCAGAGCCTTCTTGAGGGCAGCAGCAGACACACCGCTGCGCTCCTTGGACGCGGCCACAGTTTTCACGATCAGCTCACCTACGCTGGGACCAGCCTTCTTCGGCTTGGCGCTCTTCTTCTTGGCTGCTTTGGCCGGAGCGGCGGCGGGAGCTGGAGCAATTTCTGCCATTTCCTTCTTTCTCTGTGTTCGTGTAGAAACCACAACTCAAACGAGACTCAGACTAATTGAAGAACCTCCGTGAGCTACAGGCTGTACTTAAACACGCCATGAGAACCGTAAAGACTCAACTTTCTCTGCGGCTCTTGTTGACAACATGGACGCGTTCTGTTTGTGTTTTCTCTTCACCATAAAACTGGATAAATACGAGCGCGTGAGCAGCGCAGCATGCTGTCAGAGTACGAGTCTACAGCGGACTTGTGTCTCTTCATGTTCAGTTCATGCTGGGCTCGGATGCTTTCTGCATTTTGATGCTGGAGCTTAATAACTCCACCGATTCACCTCCGGACTCGGCGCCGATGAGCTACTTTTCCATCCCTTATTTATTCTACAATCACGGTACGCGCAGTAAAACGCGTCATAATGCAAGTTTACATGTTATTTTAGAGACACAGACATAAAACAACCACCTGCTGAGAGTACATTACTAGAAAATGAACATTTTGTTGCAACATCAAACACACTTGTTGAGCCAGTCAGAAGCTGTCTGCTGCAGATGATCTCTCTGCTACAAGTCCCCGATGAAGGCTAAATAAAAAGAAGATTCTTATTTTAAGTCACTGCAACTGTTTTTCTTTCACATATGAAAATTTAGCAATTATTTAGCTAAAACCCTGGCAAAGTGGCTGACAGGATTTTCATCAGCAGGACTGAATAAATTGAAGCACTGATCAGAACAAGAGATGGATGCTCTCAGAGTTTCTAACAGTTACCTAAACTTTATACTCAATCAACTTTGAATGAACTAAAGCATGTAAAGCTTTACTTAACTCTACATTTTTCCTGCTCAGGTCTTTCCATGCACATGCCTGAGATGTAACTGCAGCCTTTTCTGTTTTTCCCATCCTAACACAAAGCTCAACTTTGAATAAAATTGCTGCTGCGTGGCTGCAGCATGACCCAAGTCTGGAACATCAAAATGACAGAATTAAACAAATGTATACGCTTTATTTCATGCTTCAAATTAACATTTCATTCTAATTCATCTGTATTTTCCCACTGCATATTAGTATAAACTGTATTTCTCTAAAATTAACACGATTGTACTCTGAGCACGCTAAAAAAAGAAACCTATGCTATACTACTGATGTGTCGGTCGCGAACGAACCGGCTCTAAGAGCCGGCTCTTTGAAGTGAACGACGGGAGCCGGCTCGTCATTGGGAGCCGCCCCTCCCCTCTTGCTTTGGTGAAAGCTACAGGCGACTGGTCAACATCTGTAACTGCGTGTCTAGACTGTCCACACACAGAGCAGTAGGGGCGGGGAAGAGGGAGGATCAGACTCACAGCAGAGCACATGCGGGTGGAGGGAGACGAGACGGAATGAGGAGGAGGAAAAAGGCGAGAGAGAGAGAGAGAGAGAGAGAGAGAGAGAGAGAGAGAGAGAGAGAGAGAGAGAGAGAGAGAGAGAGAGAGAGAGAGAGAGAGAGAGAGAGAGAGAGTGAGAGAGAGACAGAGAGAGAGATAGAGAGTGAGAGAGAGACAGAGAGAGGAAGACGGTGAGAAAATGAGCGCCAGCAGCTGGAAAGTGGAGATTTCTTAAAGTGTTCGGTTATTAAATCCATATAAATGATAAATATTTGATATATTGCATTTTTTTACATTAGTAAATCATTTTACATATAGTTTTGCATTATTTTGGTTATAAATGTACTCTACGCAACAGAAAATCTGAGGAGCCACTTGGGAGCCGAAAGAGCCGGCTCTTTTTGGTGAGCTGAGCCAAAAGAACCGGCTCCCTAAAGAGAGCCGGAATTCCCATCACTTTGCTATACTCACCCTGCCATGCAGGTACAGTTGGCTGTGAAGACGTAGTTCTCTGGTTTGTTTACTATGACCCAAGCCTCGTACATAGCAGTCTTGTGTCCTTGTCTTTGGCTAGGAAGGACTTCTGCCTTCAAGACGCAAAACTCAGAGTCTATGTCGTGATATTTTACTTTCTGTACGTGGCCACAGACAACATAGTTGTATGCATCTAACGATTTGTATGCCCATAGCATCTCATGTGTGTACTTACTGGGCCTCTCCACTAAAACCGTATATATATCGGGCCACTGGATTTCTGGCCACGCACCTACATCTTCCACCCATTCCGTAATGCCACAGGGATCCGGGAGTCTGTTGCCATTCGTTAAAGTGAGTTTAATAATATAACATTCAAGATTTGCCGGTGATAACCCCGCAGCGTAGCTTGATAAAGCCTGAAACAACGCCATTCTGTTGCCAAGCTGCGCGCGCATTCGCGCTGACGTCATATTGTTTACAAACAGTAAAAGGGTCTATAGGGATGATTACAAATTTACAAATAAAAAATAACTAAAATACCTATGACAACTTGGATGTTTCTCTATGTTTTTGCCAACTTATACAATACTAACATATTGGGGCTTGGTATGAAAATCCTAACTAACTATTAGTGATGTGGAGGTCGCGAATGAACCAGTTCTAAGAGTCGTCTCTATGAAGTGAACGACGGGAGCAGGCTCGTCATTGGGAGCCGTCACCCCATTACATAGGCGTAGCCGTGGCCGCCCGCCACGACTGAAATCCCAGCGCCTACAAGATCCCGTTTTATAGATAAAAAAATAATTTTGAGACTTGAGATTGGTCATAATCCCCCCCCCACCACCACCACCACAGCTGAAATAATTCCTAGGGGAAACACTGCCCTCCCATCTCTCCTTGAGAGGAAAGTGTGACGAAGACAGTGAGAAAATAGCGACAGTCGAAAGTTGAGATTTCTTAAAGAGCTCAGTAAATCAAATCTATATAAATGATAATTGTATTCATTGCATTTTTTTACATTAGTAAATAATTTTACATGTCATTTTGCATTATTTTTAATGATAAATATACTTCACGCAACAGGAAATCTGAGGAACCACTTGGGAGCCGAAAGAGCAGGCTCTTCTTGGTGAGCTGAGCCAAAAGGACCGACTCTAAGAAAAGCCGGACTGCAAATAACTACTAAATATTTTCTTATAATACTCTACAGAGCAGGATCAAAATAAATTTAAACCATATTAGTTAATATTTTATTCAAAGTTTTTCAATTTCCAATGACTTACAGCACCCATAGGACGCCTGTTACGATATAACCATTGGTCATTTTGAAGCGATAAATGAATATCAGCGCGACTTAGATTCGAACCAGACAATAACAAGCCCTCTGATGAAGCAGTAAATGGCTCTTAAAAGAGCCGTTGTGGTGATATTGAAGCTGGAAGACTTTATGCTCGCTCTCCGCGGATGCGGCGGGCCAGCTGGATGTCTTTAGGCATGATGGTGACCCGCTTAGCGTGGATGGCGCACAGGTTGGTGTCCTCGAACAGGCCCACCAGGTAAGCCTCGCTGGCCTCCTGCAGAGCCATGACGGCGGAGCTTTGGAAGCGCAGGTCGGTCTTGAAGTCTTGAGCGATTTCTCTGACCAGGCGCTGGAAGGGCAATTTGCGGATGAGCAGCTCGGTGGATTTCTGATAACGACGAATCTCCCTGAGAGCCACGGTACCGGGCCTGTAACGGTGAGGTTTCTTAACGCCGCCGGTGGCCGGGGCGCTCTTTCTGGCTGCCTTGGTGGCCAACTGCTTCCTGGGGGCTTTGCCACCGGTAGATTTGCGAGCGGTCTGCTTGGTTCTAGCCATTGTGAGTAGTTTGTCAGTTTGGGACTGAAGGAAATATAACCTGAAAGAGCCGAGAGTCGCTGCTCTTAAAGAGTGAGAGTAGCTGCGGGACAGTGACGTAGCTTCACGGCTTCGGCTCGTGATTGGTGACCGTCTCCTCCTGGAGCTCAGCCCCGCCCAGAGCAGCGGTTCCCCGCCTGAATGCTGACCGCTTATTGGAGATACGCTGTGTTCAAAAAGCGTCTCTCCTCCTCAGCTCTTCTGGTTGGCTGCCACTAGTTTCTCTCCGCTCTGTGCAGAAATATAAGGAGGTTTGGGGCTACATCTCGCCACTTTTTCTCGAGTATCTCCTCCAGGAACAAATTTCAACAATGAGTGGTCGTGGTAAAACCGGAGGCAAGGCCAGAGCTAAGGCCAAGACTCGCTCCTCCCGTGCCGGGCTCCAGTTCCCAGTGGGCCGTGTCCACAGGCTGCTGCGTAAGGGTAACTATGCAGAGCGTGTCGGTGCAGGCGCCCCGGTCTACCTGGCTGCTGTGCTAGAATATCTGACGGCTGAGATCCTGGAGCTGGCTGGAAACGCCGCCCGCGACAACAAGAAGACTAGGATCATCCCCCGTCATCTGCAGCTGGCTGTTCGCAACGACGAGGAGCTGAACAAGCTTCTGGGTGGAGTCACTATCGCTCAGGGTGGTGTGCTACCCAACATCCAGGCTGTGCTGCTGCCCAAGAAGACCGAGAAGCCCGCCAAGACCAAGTAAAGCTGCTGCTTCTCATCGCTACCAGCCCCAAAACGGCTCTTTTAAGAGCCACACAATCTTCACAAAGAGCTTTCATCTTTGTTTCCATAACTGAATATATGAACCGTCCTTTTCATGCTTATGAATTACATTATTTGAGCGTGTTGCACTTCTCTAGTCTTCAGCACTCATCACAATTATACAAGCTGATCATGTAGTGTCCAATAATTAACATTTCGAGTGGATGGATTGTATTAAGGTAAGTTGTGCTGTAATGGTGTAAATGGCTCCTGTTATTAAAAATGCCAATATTTGCTTTATAGCTTACATGTTTAAAAAAATTACATTAAATTACATTACAACTCATCTTTTTTTTTTTTTCTTCATTTTTATCTTGTTCCAGACAACAGACTCTTCTACACTGGCCCCAGTATGCAGAGCATGCGCCTGCTAGTCATGTCAGAGGAGGAGAAGAAGCCTGTTTTGATGGAGTGCCACAATAACCCTGGTACCGGGAACCACAATGGTGTCAGAGGTACCTGACACAGGGTTGTTGCTGGCTATTACTGGCCAACATTGAACCAGGACATCAGTGAATGGGTAATGGCCTTATTTGAGTGAAGAAGCTAAATCAGGTCGTCATAATTTTTTCTAAAACATCTGTAGGCTGAATAATTGAATGTGTTTACTTGCACACATACATTTCAACATTAGTTTCTGTCTTTTTATTTTATCAATTTACATCAACTGCTTTAGGGTTTCCTAGACATATTGTTTGGAATACGCCTTTCAGGTCAGATGTTGTCATCGCTGCCAGATGAATGACCCAATCAAGACCGTGGCACCAACATTACATCCCATCAAGGTACATCTTAAAGCTATTTACATTTAATTTTCAAGTTAATAAGCTTGTCTGCTGCAGGTTAGCTTTAAATTTTCACTTGATAAGTTCTGTGACCTGCAGGTAAAGAACCTTGGGAGTTGCTGGGCATGGATTTAATTGGACCACTCCCAGAAACACGTCTAGGGAACCGATATGTCCTGACCATGACCGTTCTGGGTGATTGCAGAACCTCTTAAGTCCAAGACTGCTGCTGAGGTCTCTGCAGTCATGACGTCTAAGTTATACATGTTTGGCATGGTGAGGAAGATCATCACTGACCAAGGAAAGGAGTTTGTGAACCAGGTAAAATTTGTGAAAGTGTTAGTCGTACCTTGACATTTGAGATGATGTATTTAGACCAAGTCTGCTCATGCCACTGCAGCTCAACGACAGCATTTTCAGAATGCTGAATATTAAACATGCTGTCTCCAGTGCTTACCACCCCCAGACCAACAGGCAGGTTAGCATTTGGATATCTAACCTTGAGTAACTCATGGGAAATCAGTCATGCTTCTTTATCTATTCTGCAATACAACTCAAGGATGAGAGGACCAACCAGAACATTAAGCATGCTCTCAGAAAGTACGTGAACCAGAACCATGACGACTGGGACGTTCACCTTGCTGCTGTGGTGTACGGCATCAACACTGCAAAGCAGGTATTCCTATTTTGACATTTTGTATGACTTTTACGCTGCTTCACAGTGTAGCATCGTCTTAAGAATGTTTTTAATTTTGTTTATAAAAAAAAGAAGTTATTGACAAGTGCAAGAGAAAATGAATTAATGGAGAGATTTTGTGTGATCAGCACTCCACCCGCCACAGTGCCTATTTCCTGCTCTTCTACCGACATCCACGTCTTCCTGCTGTGATGAACGCCTGTCCCATGGACGATGACTTTGAGGTTGCAGACCCAGAAGAGGACATCGACACAAGAGTTGAGGAGATGACGGTTCTGAATGAAACAGTCTGTACATTTGAAGAGGGCTGACTGACAGGGAAAGGAGACTTGTTGAGGAAAAAAGGGGAAATGTGGTTAGTGTATTCAACATTTTTACTGCTTTAGTAGCTAACTTTTCTGTATTTCTATATTTCCAGAATGAGCATTGCCATGGCGACCTGGTGAATAATAAATATTTATATTTCTCTCTCTGCTTTTCATGTAATGTTTTTGTAGGTTCTTCGCAATATTGAGAGGGCACAGGACACCCAGAGGAAGACCTTTGGAACACGGAAAAGGAAGCTAGTAAGGCAGTGTGTTGTTCAAGCAGGCGATGACGTGCTTCTGTCAGGAGAAAACAGGAAGAGACCTTGAGGTATGTTTTCAGTGCAAAAGTTTGAAAGCTCATCAGGTGCATCATAATGCAATTAACAACTAGCAGGTGCATGTCAGCTCTCCTCATTTAATGAAACATGTTTCTTTTTACAGTTCTTTCCCAGCAGTTCATGGGAAATTGCTGCGGCATCTTTATGCTGATGGTGAGAATTTTCTTGCCATTACTTGAATATAACATTTTAACATGTTAAAGATTGATTTTACTTTACAGTATGCTCTCTGCATCTGCACCTCATCTCCACCATCTTTCACAGAGGTAAGCTTTTTCAGACAGTACCACCAAAGTATCTGTGCCAGTCTCCAGTCTTCATAAACCTTACATTATATTTGTCTTCAGGAGGAAATGCCAGCAATTCGCCTGTGGTGGTGTATTCAGCTGCTGGAGAGATTCGGCATTGAGGGGTATGGCAGGCACTTTAGACAAACTGGCACCATCATATTTGCAGCTTTGTTTCAGGCAAGACATCAAGTCAAACAAATGTTTGTGAAAGTGGCTTACTGTAAACCCTGAGATTGAACATACTGAAGAAAGCAGCAGTCCACAACTAGAGTCCATTCAGACTGGCGTTGTTTTCTAAAGGCATTGTAACGTGAGGAAATATGGGTTTTCTGGCACAATGGTGGTGCTGGACTCAGCTGGGTCATTGAGAACTTTCACCCACAGATTAAGACCTGAACGCCAGCGAGTCTGGGAGGAAACCATAACATCTGCCACCTGCGGTACCAGAAGAAGGAGTTCTCATGGACAAGTAGTCATAACAAATCAAAACATAAAGTTTAAACTTCTTTTTCTTGATTTTAATTTTAAAGTAACCATTATCATTTTGCTCATTATAAATGTGTTTAATCAAATGAATGGTTCTTATGCTTTGGGGTAATTATAATGGATTAATGAATCCACACTTAAGTAGATAATGTTGAGAATGTTTGGTACTGACCTTCACACACACCCACACACATCTTCCCACAGTAAACTCCAGACACATTTGATGACGCACGTTTGCTTTGAGAAGAGAAAGGTTTTTGGTAAGTTTCGGTCTTATATCAGTTCGTGCTTGACTACGAAAGAGAGAGGATGTGTGAACAATCGCCAGCGGAACGGAGCCCATGGGCTCAATCCCCCCCCCCCCCCCCCCCCCCCCCCCTCACGCTGTTTCTGCCAAGCCAGGCAGAATAGCTGAATCGCAACTTCTAACGCAGACTCATTACCGAGTCTTTTGATTTCTGAGTGAATTAACTTAAGAAAGCGCGTCGACAAAACGCTTTACCATCAACGTGTACCGAGGGCAACTCTGGACCGGTTCCGTTCGACACCTACGTCTCCTGTCAGCCGCCGGTGTCATCTGGATGAATCACAACATCCTCCACGGCCCGGATCCGAAAGAGGGTCCACAAGAATTCGGTGAGACAGAACACGGTGTCTAGCGTTTGGATGCATCTTTTCCAACTAACCTAAGTTTATTCAAACCATCACTTTTCACTCAGACACCTGTTTCTTCCTGAAGCAAAATCAGATGCACACACGCATCCATCTCACCTCATATCACTCTCACAACTCACAACATTCTCAATCTTCATAAATTCACCAGAAGGTCTATTTGAGCAAGAACAGCATATAAACTGTTAAAAGATTGTCCCACAAAGTTGCCAATGTGATTGTTATTTCCTGTTTGTCAGTTTTCAAAATCATTAGTTTAATTTGAAGAATTAAAACTTTTAATCCTTCAAACTGGTTTCCTCATTGAACTGAAACACAGACACTCAGATATTATCGGCAGTTTATCGATGAAAACAACCTTTGAGTCTTCTGAACAATATAAAATTTGGTTATTGATTTATTAAAAGTTAATATTCCGAATTAATACGTAGCATGGTTCCTCTTTCATAAAAGAGCATAAAACCACAACGCTACAGCATGGACAAAGATTTGCCTTCTGGACAGAAGAAGCATCCCTTCTCCTCCAGGGGACTCTCCAGCCTGTCTTCAGGGTACCAAAGGCAACCTCCTCCAAGCCTTCACCAAGTCTAATCAGACCGGTGAGAGAGGACAACAATCAGATAACTATTTGTAGGACAGAACCACACAATGTTGAGACTATTCATCACAATGCAGGTTTACATACATGGTGGTAGTCTTCATTTCAGTCTAATGTGATAATCATGTTTTCTGTTAAAGGCTGAGGCTGACAGGTGTCTTATACTGGAGGTAATCTATTGATTTTCCTGTTTCTTTCATTTGTTGATATAACTGAATTAGTAGTTATAGTCACAGGCAGCTCCTTCAGAGACATTATCCAGTAGTAGAATGAAGTAATAGTTATGAAACACTACTCAGTGTAATGTGTTTTCAGTCCTCATATTTCTGAAACTTTATGGACAAATTTTGTATTTTCACTATTGTCACGTGGCATAAATTTTGCAGTTACCAGAACGTGTCCTAATGATATATTGGAGAGTTTTGTGAGAGTTTTTGATCTTTCTTCTTGGAGTACTATAGCAAAAACTGTAATGCTCTTGTGGCAAGGTGGATAAACGAGGGCCCGGGCGGGATTCGATCCCCAGACTCCCGTGTGAGAGTCATACACTCTAACCAGTCAGCCAAAGGGACTGATCAAGGATGATCAATCGGGACATTGTGACAGGACACTCACACTGTCACACTCTGTTTGAGAAAGTGAATCTGTTGGGCTTGTACCTGGTACTCAGAGTACCACACTGCCAGAAAGGGCACGCTGAAAATAAAATGCTTTTTATTTCCATCAATATGTATCTCCTTATTCAAATAATCTGGGTTGTAACCATCCTCTCAATCCTTTTTCTGTTGTTCATGCTCTTGTAATCTGTTGTTTGTGTTCCGCATTATTACAGTAAACCTGTGGAAATTATAAAGTGGTCCTGTGTTATTTTATATGGATATAAACATGAGTGTAGTTAAATCTGTATTTAATATGTTTAACTTATGAATACCTTGAGAAACTATTTTCAAACATTAATTTTGCAACATTGTGAAAATGATCACTATGGTATTACAAAGAATTAAGTTATTTCAAGACAAAGTGGCAAACGAAGAAATCTAACACAAAAGTAGAAAGTAAACAAATTTTAGGTGATGAGCCAAATTGGCTTTTGTGCAAGAATATATTACATTTCATATTGGAAAACATTCATAGGACATGTAGTGCAAATTAAGAATATCTGCTGTATCACAGTGACACATTTTCATCTTTTAAATGAAAATATAACCTATTGTGTGGAGAAAAAACAAACATGTAATAGGTTACCTGAAGACTAATCAGCCAGTGTTTACAGACAATTTACAGTGGACATTATCAACAGAACATCAAGATAATTCAAATCAATCGTCTCCACACATACAAGCATAAACACACTAAATCAAATTTAACACGCATATAAAAACATGATTTTTAACAACGCAAATTCAGTTTACAATCGGGCTAATTCGCTCGGTCAGCAAGTGGCAGTATCCTCGTACACTGCGGAGTAAACTGCCATTGAACGGATCACAAGAAGAATAGAGCATCTGCACATGCGCGGTACGGATCAGGTAGACCCGATCTGTACGGTCCGACGTTTATTTTTTTTTTTTTCATTTTTATCTACATTAAATTGAAATGTTTCACTATTACAAACATTTAAATAGATACTTATTATTTTTTAACATCTTAACAGATACTCTGACCCGTAACTATCGTAAAATGCTTCGAGCGGAAGTAGACGCCTTGCAGTATTTCTATTGTATAAAAGCAACAGTGCAAACAGTAAAGACACAAAATTGAAATAAATGTCTAAAAATAGCCTTTATTAATACTAGTGCTTCTCTTCATGTCATCACTTGTTTGGAATATTTTGATGAACTTCAGAAGAAAAATGCAGTACAGAAAACTTACATCCAACACAAATTTTAAGACCCAGATGCCAAAATTGAAGGGTTTCTCCAGTCTTTTAAAGGTATTACTTTCAAATGCATAAATTCAATGCTTTTAAGACTCCGCGCGAACCCTGTAAACATTTCTCCTCAAAAGTAAGTCGCCCCGCATGTGTAAAATGGGCTATATGTATCATCTAAAACTCATAATGGCAATAAAAACCTTTAATTTCCAAGTTTATAAAACGTTCGCCCAACACTGGTCCTCGATATTGTTAAAACAGAGAAAAAAAAATCCTAGCTTACCTCCATTTAGGGAGCTACTTCCCTCTGCCCCGGCTACAGCATTGCACACACGGAGCATAGCGGTTTCCTGGTTCCATTGAGAGAGGGGCAGGTCGCAGGAGTCAAATAGTTGTCTCCGCCCACCTCTAAACGTTTGACCCCGCCCACATTTAGCCCCGCCCCGATCTCCGGGATGCAGTCAGGGGTAGTTGGTACAACTGGTAAAAGTTAGCTTAGCTGTTAGCTTACTCACGCTACCATATAAAACTAACATTTTACAAAACAAACATACAGGGATAGACGGCCAACATTCCCCTCATTACCCCGGACTGCTACCCAATCTCCTTCATTGCTGTTATTGTGTTATTTGTGCCGTTTTACCTGTTAACACAGACGAGAGCGCAATGAGCAGCGTCTTCTCCAACAGTCAAGCAGCACTGAATTAACCGTTGAACCGTTGGGTCTAGTGATGTGTCGGTCGCGAACGAACCGGCTCTAAGAGCCGGCTCTTTGAAGTGAACGACGGGAGCCGGCTCGTCATTGGGAGCCGTCCCCTCCCCTCCCCCCTCCCCCCCTGCCTTGGTGAAAGCTACAGGCGATTGGTCAACATGTGTAACTGTGTGTCCAGACTGTCCACACACAGAGCAGTAGGGGCAGGGAAGAGATAGGATCAGACTCAGACAGATACACAGCAGAGCACATGCCAGTGGAGGGAGACAAGAGGGAATGAGGAGGAGGAAAAAGGCGAGCGAGAGGGAGGAGAGTGCGACGAAGACGGTGAGAAAATGAGCGCCAGCAGTCGGAAAGTGGAGATTTGTTAAAGTGTTCAGTTATTAAATCCATAGAAATTATAAACATTTGATATATTTCTTTTTTTACATTAGTAAATTATTTTACATATAGTTTAGCATTATTTTGGTTATAAATGTACTCTACGCAACAGAAAATCTGAGGAGCCACTTGGGAGCCGAAAGAGCCGGCTCTTTTTGGTGAGCTGAGCCAAAAGAACCGGCTCCCTAAAAAGAGCCGGAATTCCCATCACTATAGTGCACTACAGCACTTTTACATTAAGTTGCTACTTAATCCTGATACCTTGGGATATGACGGTTTACATTTATATACTTTATATTTCAGGTTGTAGTTTTTGTTGCACCATTAAACTGGTTGTGCGTTAAATAATTTATAGCCTGTTCTTGAAATCAACAAACAAGTCAACTCAAAGTGGCTATTAATTTAAGTTATAGTTGCTCAAGTGGAGCTTCACCTTCTAAAACTTGACATAATAGACACAAAGAGGATCCTGCTTTTTAGTTTAGTTGGGTGGTCCTGAAAAGGACCTTTGATTATATCTGCAACCAATAATGTTTAGCCTCCGAAGCCGTACAAAGTGCGGCCCTGCCTCTTGAGAGCATAAACCACATCCATGGCGGTCACGGTCTTCCTCTTGGCATGCTCGGTGTAAGTGACTGCATCACGGATCACGTTCTCCAAGAATACCTTGAGAACACCACGAGTCTCCTCGTAGATCAAACCGGAGATACGCTTAACTCCACCGCGACGAGCCAGACGGCGAATAGCGGGTTTGGTGATTCCCTGGATGTTATCACGGAGAACTTTACGGTGACGCTTGGCGCCACCTTTCCCGAGTCCTTTACCTCCTTTGCCTCTTCCAGACATGTCTAACCCTTAAGAGATTTGATGTAACAATGCAGTAGCTCCAGTGGCTCTAGGGTTTTTATCTCACACTGAAGGACGTCTGAGAGAACAGCAGTGGCTGAGACTTCTTCTGGGATTTTATTTGGTGGAGATTTTTGTCTATTTTGTTGTAGCGCCATCAAGTGGCCTTGACTCACCAGAGTCGGGAATGACTTCAATAAAAATCCGGTGATGGAAACAAATTTAAACACTGGAATGTTAACCACAGCAAACCGCTGCCTCCCACCCAGCCTTTCCCCCAAACAAGGTTTAGAAAACAGATAAAACAATTAAAGTCCCATTAGTTGTCACACACACTGGTGTGTGTGCGAAATTTGTTCTCCGCATTTGACCCATCCCCTGGGGGAGCGGTGAGCTGCAGACAAGCCGCGCTCGGGATCCATTTGGTGGTTTAACCCCCCAATCCAACCCCTTAATGCTGAGTGTCAAGCAGGGAGGCATTGGGTCCCATTTTTTCAAAGTCTTTGGTATGACCCGACCAGGAATCGAACCCAGATGTCCCAGTCTCAGGGCGGACACTCTACCACTAGGTCACTGAGCTGGTTAAACACAACAAGCACAACATCAACAGTGACAGTGCACATCAGAGTATCGTGTAAACAGACAAGTTCATTTTAATCTGCAGTCGTTGAAGGGTTAATGTAGAAAATAATCCAATTCACATCCCTGCAATAGCAGTCCAGGTCTGGGAAGCTACAGAGGTTTCATTTCCACCTTTTTTCTCATATTGTGTTGTCAGTTTTCTGTCCTGTACTAGAATGTTTCACATTTTTTTGTAATTTGAATAGCTTTTATAAACTTGGCTCCTAATAACGTTTTGGACAGACATTTACTTATTGGAGCAACAAACATTCACATTTGCTAAAAATACTTAAAATCACATCATTGTTCACACAAAAGGAGTGGGCTGAACAAAGTACTTGTGTAAATAAACATTGTGAAGTGTATTTTACATAAAATTGTCCACAGATGACAGGTTCAGTTACAAGAATGTGGTGTGAATTCTGTAGTCAACGTGGTCAGTGATCATAAATAAAGTGAATTATTATCATAAAGATAGATAAGTGGTTTTATTAATGTAACAAATTGTATTTGACAATCTGCACTTAGCTTCTTTTTGACACCTAGTTGAATAACTTTGTAACCTTTCATTATTTGCCAAATATTCTGCAAAATGAATAAAAGCCCTCAGATGCAGGTGGTGGCTCTTAAAAGAGCCGTTGTGTTGGTGAACAGGGAGTTTAAGCCCTCTCTCCGCGGATGCGGCGGGCCAGCTGGATGTCCTTGGGCATGATGGTGACCCTCTTGGCGTGGATGGCGCACAGGTTGGTGTCCTCGAACAGACCCACCAGGTAAGCCTCGCTGGCCTCCTGCAGAGCCATGACGGCGGAGCTCTGGAAGCGCAGGTCGGTCTTGAAGTCCTGAGCGATTTCTCGGACCAGGCGCTGGAAGGGCAGCTTGCGGATGAGCAGCTCGGTGGATTTCTGATAGCGACGGATCTCCCTGAGAGCCACGGTACCGGGCCTGTAACGGTGAGGTTTCTTAACGCCGCCGGTGGCCGGGGCGCTCTTTCTGGCTGCCTTGGTCGCCAGCTGCTTCCTGGGGGCTTTGCCTCCAGTGGACTTACGAGCGGTCTGCTTGGTTCTAGCCATGGTTAGTAGCTTCTCTGAAACGGAGAAGAAGATAAGTTGAAGCTGCAGAAAGCCTGCTCTTAAAGTGCGGGAACAGCTGCGGGACGGTGACGCTGCTTCACCGCTTCATCTCGTGATTGGTGACCGTCTCCTAGTGGAGCTCAGTCCCGCCCAGAGCAGCGGCTCCCCGCCTGAATGCTGGCTGCTTATTGGAGACGGGCTGTGTTCACAAAGTCGCTCAGAACCTCCCCTCCGCTCCAGCTCTCCTGGTTGGCTGCCGCCTGTTTCTCTCCGCTGTGCGCACATATAAGGAGGTCTTGAGCTGCAATTTCACATCAGTTCTCAAGGATTTACTCTAGAAAGTATTTGAAAATGAGTGGTCGAGGAAAAACCGGAGGCAAAGCCAGAGCCAAGGCTAAGACCCGCTCCTCCCGTGCCGGACTCCAGTTCCCAGTGGGTCGTGTTCACAGGCTGCTGCGCAAAGGAAACTATGCGGAACGTGTCGGTGCCGGCGCTCCCGTCTATCTGGCGGCTGTGTTGGAGTACCTGACCGCTGAGATCCTGGAGCTGGCTGGTAACGCTGCTCGCGACAACAAGAAGACCAGGATTATTCCCCGTCACCTGCAGCTGGCTGTCCGCAACGACGAGGAGCTCAACAAGCTGCTGGGTGGTGTCACCATCGCTCAGGGTGGTGTGCTGCCCAACATCCAGGCTGTGCTGCTGCCTAAGAAGACCGAGAAGCCCGCCAAGACCAAGTAATTCTGCTGGCTCTCCACCAACCCCACAACGGCTCTTTTAAGAGCCACACACTTACTCAAAGGGCTTGCTCCCCAGTTCATAACTTGAAAATTTTGTTTTAATTTGTCACTGAATAATTGTAAAATACTTTTCTATTAATCTATGGGATTGATTATTTTGGGTAGTTCTCTATTGAAAAGCTAAAGTATGGTCCTGATCTCTATTCTTGGCTTCCTCAAATGAATTTGTAAAAACTGAGTTTAAATAAACCATGTGGCTAGACTTTAGACTACAAATTCCTCATTGATAAACCTAGCTGGCTTGTTCCATGAAGTTAAAGAACGAAGCAGATGCTAATTCCCATTTGATAAATGATAATTCACACCAATTTAAAAATCAGCTTTTTATAAAACCACAATACTTTTAGTCTTGAACCTTTGAATTGGTGAACAGTTCATTTGAGCTGGGAAAATTGATGCATTTCAGCTTTTTTTTTTTTCTTGCACCTGGCATTACAACTAGTCTAGCTACAAAACCGCCTACTAGTGATGTGTCTGTCGCGAACGAACCGGCTCTTAACAGCCAGCTCTTTGAAGTGAACTACTGCAGCCGTCCCCTCCCCTTTTGCTTTGGTGAAAGCTACAGGTCATCATGTGTAACTGCGTGTCCAGACCAAGCCCCCACAATGCCGCTCAGAAAATGGTCCCATCCCGGAAGTAAGAAAAATTGCAGTTCCACCCTCATCCGCTGGGGGCTGGTGCCAGAAGCGAGCAAATCCTCATTGACTCCCATGTTAAAAATGCCGATTTCACAGCAGAAATAAACATGTTTACAGCCTGGTGCCAAAACATGTTTTTTGTCTAAATTATCTAGTTTATACTCATGACAACTCTGAGGGGGGTGAATTTTTTTCTCACTCTTCTGTTTAAGTGTATTGAAAGCCTAAAATTCTGTATAATTAATGAGCATCCGACACACGTGACCGCCGCCTCAGACCCACGTGACCACAGAGCTAGCTCCGTGGAAAGGCCTCAGTACAGCCTCGGTCTGGCTTGGAAACTGCTCCGGCATTTTGAGTCTCTGTGTTTGTGTATTCTTCTTTGGATATTATTGGTGCAATTGTTGGACAAAATGACTTGCAGTGGTATTAATTGCACTAATAGAGCGTCCAAGGAGTCTCCACTTAATTTTTTTCGGTAAGTTAAAATCTATATTCGTATTTTATGTCACTGCCACCTTTAAACTAGCTGAGTTTACCGAAGTAGCTAGCTAACTATCAGTTTAACATGTAGCATGTACTGTTTAACCATAAAATTTAAATGTAAAATACGGTAAAATAATTAATAGGGCATATTTAGATGGGTAATAGGGTAAAACCCAGTGCATTTAAGATAAAAATGGGTTGAAATATGACGGAGCGCTAAGAGGGAGACTTCTGTGTCCATTCTTACATCCGGTAATCCCCAGCGGTCAGGCCGGGCAGCCTGACCGATCCGGCGCCTACTTGCTGCGCCTAGCTGCTGCGCGGTCTGACCGCTCGTGGAGTTTTTCATGTCTGACTTTAACCGCATCTACCGTATTACGGCGTGAGCGCAACAGCGACAACTTAATATCGATGTGTAAGCAGCCTGAGTGGTAGGGTGTTTTCATCTGAACCCTTAAAACCTCCAGCAGGCTATGCTGCACTATTGACGTGTTAGCGCGCGGCGCTAACAACTTAGCAACGTGACATGTCTCTGAGAAAGCGTAAAACACGGACGCTTCTTCTGAAGCGGAAAATAACACTTCTTCTTAAGCAGAGCAGGATGTCGCCTCGGCTCGTTCACGGCCAAGCCGGACTGAGCTCGATAACATTGACCAAGCACAGCCACTGGGCCGTTGTAGCTGCCACCAGGCCTGCTGAAGGAACTCCAGCGGGTTTCATCAGACTCGTAAAGTTTCTTGTTTTTGCTGGGGATTTCTGTATTTTACCGCTCCCTCCTGCAGTCTTCCCCTATTAAAATTTAAAATGTGTAACTTTATGTATTGTGATGAATGACTAATATTCATGTAAAACTAAAACGTTAGGCATTTAGGGGAAAAAAACAAAATAATAAACATTATACAGATGTCAAATAAATCAAACTGTAATTAAACTATATATTTTCAAAGTCATATAGACAGCATGATGGTTTGTGTGATCCGCGCGGTTTCACTTACACCCCTTTAATGATCAGGCTGTTTTTTATTATTTTTATCAGCTGATAGCAGTTAAAATTATGGTAAAAAATACTTTTATCTGTTTTTGATAACTTAATGCCCAGGAAGAGCATCTTCCTGGGCATTAAATATAACCCAAATGTTTTATTATGAGCAGATCTGATGAAGGTGTAGACAAGCAGTCTGCAAAGTAAAACTTGTTTAGAGTCCAAACTCTTACTAAAGCTTTTGAAAAGAAAAAATGGTTGAATTTTGAGAAATATCCACAACAGGGGAGCGACACCTCTGAAAAATGTATATTTTCTCTGAATTCATAGAATAATGTGAAGATTCTGGGAAAAGTTGGGATTCTGAGATTAAAACGTAAATCTTTCTAATCATAATTCTGGCAGTTTTTGTGTCCTTCTGCTGTGGAAAGTCGTGCAACATGAAGATACTGAGAAGATGCTTACAACCTGTATTTTTATTCCATCCATAAATAAAATCATGAGCTATTTTTTTAATCCAAATTTGATCCAAAGGGCCATCGTTGGTTCCAGACCCGTTCTAGAACATTCCTCTAATCTTAAAGTCATCATCAGTTTCTTCCTTTTAACAAATATTTATTTGTTCAAATATTTAATATTTATAACTGGAATATTTGTTCCTCCCTCTCCCACTGCAGTTAGTCCTGTCCTGCAACCCTGTTTTTGCAGCTTAGTGAAGCCAACCATCACTAACCTGGGGGTGGTTTTGGACCCAGAGATGCGGATGGACTCCCACATTAGCCAGGTGGTTAGATCCTGCTTTTCCCGGCTTCGCCAGCTACCAAAAATGAAGTCCATCCTGAAAGACGTGTCATATTTTCTCCCCAAGCTGGACCTGACCGTCATGTATCGGTCCAAAATAGTGTGATGATATTGTGTTTTTTGTACATAACAGACTTTTTAACAGACAAATTTGTCGCATTCTCCTACACCTCTTCACGGGCTCGCCACAGTAAATATTCTATTTGGCAAGAGATAAACTTTATTGTATTTATCCTAGTGAATCTATAATTAAACGGGTAAACTAGTAGTAGCACATCCAACATCAAAGAAAGTAAAATGTTACTATCAGGAGAGGGAGAATGTTTAAGTGGTTGGCAGCAGTGTGCTAGCCGATGGCCCCCTCCATGAGGCCACCACAGCTCAGCAGAACGTCATTGTAGCTTCTTCTGGGGAGAAAAACACTTAGAGAAAAAATAAAGTTAACAGCTGAAATAGCAGGAAATAATACAGTTAAAGAGCAGATTGTAGAAGAAAGAAACCCCTGGGTTAAACTGGTCTGTCTACTGCATAATGCTGAACTCTAACATGTGTCCTCAGGGAAGGACCTGATTGGTGTCCAGAACCTGCTGAAGAAGCACCAGGCTCTGCAGGCTGAGATCACAGGTCATGAACCTCGCATCAAGGCTGTCACCCAGAAAGGAGAGACCATGGTGGAGGAGGGTAGAGCGGGTCTGGTCCTGACATGTTTCTGAGGTGTCTGCAGGTTCTGGCTCACTTTTTTTGGGTCCAGGTCACTTCGCTGGTGAGGAAGTGAAGACTAAACTGTGGGAGCTTCATGGACGTTGGGACACGCTGAAGGCCAAGGCGTCCCAGAGGAGGCAGGACCTGGAGGACTCTCTGCAGGCCCAGCAGTACTTTGCGGATGCTAATGAGGCCGAGTCCTGGATGAGGGAGAAGGAGCCCATCGTTGGAAGTCCAGACTAAGGGAAAGACGAGGACTTGGCCGGGGTATGGAAGTCCCTTCCTGAGAAACTCCAATCGCTTTTCTTTGCTCTCTTTCCAGTCCTTCATAATTAGTGTTTCTGTATTTGTCATTTCCTTCGGTTGTCTACCAGACATCGTTGCTCGTTTGAGCGTCTCATGGGTTAGGGGTAGAAGTGCTGGCCTCGCACAGGAAGTGATGACAAACGTGTTCCCGTCGCTCTTATTTCAAACGGTTTACAAGCTGTGATGTGTGTTCCCGCTGCAGAGCAGCCATGACACGTGGCTGCCGGCAGAAGGCTCACGCTTTTCCACTAAACACCCGCAGAGCTACGTCTGCGGTGAACTGAGCAGGGTTTGTTTTACGGTGGCGGATCCGATTGGACCATCGCTGCGAGAAAGCTCCACTTGTGTCAGACGAGCTGAAGGTTCTGATGTTCTGCTCCACAGGCTCTCCTGAAGAAGCACGAGGCCCTGATGTCGGACCTGTCGGCTTACGGCAGCAGCATCCAGGCCCTGAAGGAGCAGGCCCAGTCCTGCAGGGTGAGTTCAGAACCCTTGGCCCGTCAGAACATTCTTATCCACCACGTTCTAACACCAGACCTGTTAACCCGACAGCAACAAGGTAATCAGCAGGTGCTTTTGTCCTGCAGGACCTGAAGGACAAAGAGTACCGCCTGAGGGACATCAACAAGGTGGCATCTGAACTGGAGTCAGAAGGTCTGATGGCTGAGGAGGCTCCTATGGTTCCGGCTCAGGTGAGCGTCACCTGTCTGCAGCAGCTGGTCCCTCTCACTTCCTGGTTTAACTCTGCTCGTCTCTGTTTGTAGCAACAAGAACATCTGGGTTCTGCTCCTGGAAAGGTGCGTGTTGTCCTCCGCCTCCACCAGAACCAGACGTGGTGTTTATGTTACCACTCATTTGTTTGTTTGTTTGTTTACAGGATGAAGCCGACTCTAACACGGCGTCACCCTGGAAGGTGAGTTCATTCAGCTGATCAGAGGTCACCTCTGATGGCCGCAGTCACGGCCGACCGTGCTGACATCACACAGGAATTCAGGTGACCCGGCAGGCACCAGGTGCTGGTGAAAGTGGGGACATGTCAGCTGGTTGCCATGGCTACAGTTATCTTTATGCATCTGTATGACTGCTGACTGGTGTGTGTTTCCTGTGACCTTTGACCTCAGACCGTACGGTTGGGCGTTCAGACGACGGCTAACTTTAATTCCATCAAGGTAAGAGGAAGCTCTTCCCTTCCTGTCTGAGCGATCCGTCTCCAGGTTTCTTCGTCCGGCGTCCAGCCCGCTGGCATCCACCTTCATCTCACCTTCATCTCATCTCACTTCATTTATAGTGCAATACTTTCACATTATCATTTTCCCACACTTCTGTATACCTGTATTTTGTTGTTTTTCAATAAAGAATGACAAATTATTTAAGTTTGGTTTTTGTTGCACACAAATATATATCTGTAAAAAATATCTACAAAGCTAATGTTTACATAACAAGTATGATTGGGTTTTGCAATACGGCACTCAAGTTTATTTTAGTAAGATTTTCAAACCAAGTAAAGTTAGTAAAGAACACATTTCTATTGTCTGCTAAGAAACTGTTGGGATTTAAAATGGGCCTGTTGTACAAATAACTTGTAAATGATTATTCCTCACTTTTGTCTTAACCAAAGAAATTCCAGTAATTGAGCAAAAACATTTATTTTTAACACTACATTTTATAAAACAGGGCGCAAAGTGTCGGCACATGTAGGTATTTATGTCGATGGTCCACCCCAACCGAACCAGGAGACACAGACGTCAGGGAGGCCAAGGTTGTCTCTGCAGCTCTCTGGGCACCACGCCTCACTCAGCTGTCACCAATGATCCAAATGGCTATGGAGAAAAAATAACAGGTTTGGCCTAGCTGTTTAAAGTACAAAACCATACATGAAGTGGTCAAGACAAGTACTTGGAACTTACACGCTGCGTTGTGTAGCTGACGTTGGAGACACACAGGCTGCCATGGTGACCTTTTAATAGATCTAAGAAAAAAATGTAATAAAAGAATGAAACTTAAAAACTCCCAAACCTCATGTCATATTTACTAATCAGCTATGGCTGATTTGTTTGGATCACAGTGAGTTACACTAATTCTAATATATTTTTATTTCTATTATACATACATACTTTTTAACTGTTATTTTCACATGACTGTTATCAGGCTCTCTTGTTCTGGTTCTGATGATAATCCCGTGTCTTCCAGTAAGTTATCTTGTGCTTACTTCATCTGTATAATGTCTCTTTACTTTTGGTAAATTGTACTGAGTCCAGAATAAAGGCTAGCTGGCTGTACAAGATACAAACAAGTATTACGTTTTGGAAATATATGAAACACCGCCAGCATCTGTTAGAGCCTGTGGTGGGGTGCTGAGGGCCGGCTCCAGCCCAGGAATGAGCTCTACACGCCGGCCGGGAGGGTTTGAAACACCGCCATCCTCTCCTCTGCTGGCTGTTCATTCTGTTATGGTTACCGGTGCTTGTGTTGCAATGTGAAACGTTTGGTCTCAGATTTTGTAAGAAAGATAATAAAATGTCCCCCCAAAATACGACTTAAATATATTTTCTCTTCTTCATGATACATTTAATGGCTGGTGCGACTCAGGAGTGATAGCGCCGAAAAAAACTGTACTGAAAACGTGCTCAAAGCAAAATGTATTCATTACGGAAATAAATTATAAACTTACCGATTTAAAACTTTTTTAATACAGGTACTTCTCACGAACAGGCGCAGAAAACCTCCACCTAAACTCCGTGTGAGGTTCAGGTCGATGGGTGTTCCAGTTAGCTCCGGTTGGGTTGAAGCTAGGTGGCTACATCCGTTAGCTCGGCTCCCACCTCCGCTTTAGCTTTGGGTTAGCCAGGGTTAGCTTCAGGTTAGCTCGTAGCTAGTTCGCCTGGGTGTCGTCACTCGAGCCCAGCCTTACAGCCACACCCTCAGCGCCTCCTCTCTTCCCTTTTATGGAATTGTCTGGGCTGGACGGAACCTGTGACACGGTCAAAATGGCGGTGGTGGACACCTCCCATTATGGACAGATAACGTGTTATTGAAGCCTATGGAATCGAATTGTCCAGTATATGTACAGTCTATGGTCCAGACTGTCCACACACACAGAGCAGTAGGGGCGGGGAAGAGGGAGGATGAGGAAGAGAGTGTGACGAAGACTGAGAGAAAATGAGCGCCAGCAGTCGGAAAGTGGAGATTTCTTAAAGTGTTCAGTTGTTAAATCCATAGAAATGCTAAATATATATAGCATTTTTTTACATTAGTAAATCACTTTATGTTTATGTTTATGTGCTTAGACGCTTTTACCCAAAGCGACTTACAATTTTTATTTATTTATTTTTTTTACCTATAGGGCATGTTGTGATCTTTACATATACTTTACATATAGTTTTGCATTATTTTGGTTATAAATGGTCTATACGCAAAAGAAAATCTGAGGAGTCATTTGGGAGCCGAAAGAGCCGGCTGTTTTTGGTGAGCTGAGCCAAAAGAAGCGGCTCTAAAAAGAGCCGGAATTCCCATCACTATTGCCTACTCTTCAAACCCAGACAAGATAATTCTATCAGCTGGAGGGGGGAGGGGGGGGGGGGGGGGTAAAAATGTATAGTTAAGTGTTATTCTAGAGCTGGACCAGTTATGGGGTCCAGGTGCAAAGAAGTTGAAATCATCAACCTCTTTAGAGCTTTCAAAAAAATAAGTTTTCAAACTGTTACAGATTCTGCTGTTAGTGCAGGACACATGGTTCAGGTTTGAAGATACAGTCTTGCTTTTATAAATAGTTAATAAAACATGTAAAAAATGCATCGAAAATATTGTTTAAATGGAATAAAGCTCTTTGGATAATTTGGTGGCTCTTAAAAGAGCCTTTGTTTAGACATCTGGTATAGTGAGGACTGAATTCACTTCTTCTTGGGAGCTGCCTTCTTGGCCTTGGGTTTGGCTGCCTTCTTAGTTGGAGTCTTCTTGGCGGCAGGAGCCTTTTTCACCACCTTCTTGGGACTCTTGGTGGCCTTCTTAGGGCTCTTGGCGGTCTTCTTGGGCGCAGCGGGCTTCTTGATCTTCTTGAGAGACCTCTTTGCAGCTGCGGGCTTCTTGGCTGCTACGGCTTTCTTGGGCGTCTTGACCGCTGCGGGCTTCTTGGCTGCGGGTTTCTTGGCTTTAGGAGCGGCAGTTTTCTTTGCGGGCTTCTTGGCTTTGCTGTCCACGGTTTTGCTCATCTTGAACGACCCGGAGGCGCCGACACCCTTGGTCTGAACCAGGGTGCCTTTCGCCACCAGGCTCTTGATGGCGGTCTTGACGCGGGCTTTGTTCTTGTCCACATCGTATCCTCCGGCAGCCAGTGCCTTTTTGAGGGCAGCAGCAGACACGCCGCTGCGCTCCTTGGAAGCGGCCACAGTTTTCACGATCAGTTCGCCAACGCTAGGACCAGCCTTTTTGGGCTTGGTGGTCTTCTTCCTGGCTGCCTTGGCCGGAGCGGCGGCGGGAGCTGGCGCAACTTCTGCCATTTTCTTCTTTCAAAACAAGAATCAGATTCTAATCAACAGAAGCTCTGAGCCACAGGCTGTACTTAAACACACCATGAGAACCGCGGAGACTCAACTCTGCTGCGGCTCCTCCTGACATTACACACGTCTCCCGTTTGTGTTTTCTCTTCAGCATATAACTGGATAAATACGAGATCGTGAGCAGCTCAGCAGCCCGACAGAGGACCAGTCAACAACAGGACTTGTGTCTCTTCGTGTTCAGCTCATGTTGAGCTCGGTTGCTTTCAGCATTTTGTTCTTGTAGCTTCAAAACTCCACCAATTCACCCCTGGATTCGGTGCTCATCAGTTATTTTTCCGTCTCCTATTTATTCTATAGCCATGTCACCCACGTCAAAAGCTGACATAAAGCTAGTTTACGGGTTCTTTTATAGACTCTGATATAAAACACCCTCCTACTCAGAGTAATTTCACCAGAAATTAAGATATTGTTGCAGCATCAAACACACTTGCTGAGGCTGTCAGGAAGCTGTCTGCTCTCATGATTTCTCTGCATATCTGTCTGACACACACAAGGAATAATTTTGCAGTCCTTTAGTTGCAAAGTGAGATGTTTTCCAAATGTCACAAGCAAAAGATAACTTTTTGGCCTGAATTTGCTACAACAGAGACTCTGCTTCCAGCTTTGTCTGTCCAATTTCTTCTGAAAATTCAGTTTCCAAAATGACATGGAGGAGTTGCAGAAGTTTGCTCACAGTGGGAAAGTTTGCTTCAAAAGTACTTGCATGCCACCTCTGTTTCCAGACATCACAGATGGGCCATCAAAACAAAATCCAATGCAAAAGGATGGATCGAGCTCCAGGGGGTCTAACTCTAAACTTTTTGCAAGACTTTGCAGCTCTGAACTGTATGTTGCACAACTGATGTAGTCTTAAGACTTTGATAATCCTACAAAAGATCCTCCCATTTGAAAACTTAACAAATAAACATATTTTATAATTAATAATAAGGTTATTAATAATAAGGTGACATTACAAAGTGTATGTACTGTGTGTTTTTACAAGTTATTGCGACACAGCTGGACCCGTATTTCCATCTTGTGGTGAATTAGTGTTTACACAAAATCCCATTTCAAAGCTATATTTTTTTATCTAATATTTGGCTTTAAAATGTTTACTTAAAAATTATTAACTTTGGGTCTAAACAATTAATGTAAAATGATCTGCATTTGTATAGTGCCTTTCAGTGTCAGAAGACTCCAAAGTGCTTTACACTGCAGCGTATCATTTATCCATTCACACACGCATTCACACACTGGTGATGATAAGCTACAATGTAGCCACAGCTGCCCTGGGGCACACTAACAGAGGCGAGGCACTACCAGTCCCTCTGACCACCACTAGCAGGTAGGGGTTGCATGACTTAATTTTTTTTAAAGTCGACAGTCAAGTAATGAAAATCGAGTCGACTTCGACTAGTCGTTGATGACGTCATACACCTGGTAGGTTTGCTGGAGTTTTTTGACAATTAAAATTGCGCCCACATTTTCTAAGTTAACACATTGCTTAACAACGGTAGTTTCTGCATCCTACTTCAGCCCTCTCCCCCCTCCTCCTGCGCAGCAGCCGCAAACTCACTGATGCGCCTGTAGCCTTTCCTGCTGCTCTAAACATTAAAATAATTATTTCATTTTCTGTTCCTCACTTCTGATTACCTTCAATGGTGTCTGTTTGTTGCAACCACCAGGTACAAAAACTAACTTGTTTTTATTTGACTATTTTTCTGTCCTGCCTGTTTATTATCTTCCTGCATCTCCTCTCAGTCCTAAAGAAAAACCGCTACCTGGGTTCATTTATATTCACCTCATGAGTTACCTTGGAACTGCAGTTCTAAAAGATCTACCGACCAAAAAAAACAGCGGAGTGCCGCTGCTCGTCGGCCGACTACAACAGGACCGTTTTTGCTGCGGAGTTCGTGCCGGAGCGAAGCGGAGATAGTGGAATTTTGGGGGTGCGTCACCAGAGGACAAAACAGGTGATGCGCCTCGCTCCGCAGCAGCGAAATGCATCAGGTACGAATAACAGACAGAAAACATTAAGGAAATGAGCCGACATGAACAATTGCGTGTTTAATTTGTTTTTGAGGTGGTGACACCTGATTTGGCGGTGCTCAGGACGCAGCTGGAGCGCGTCAACGATCAGAGCTTTGCATGCGCAAACTGGTTAAGATTAGGATGGGGGTGAGGGGAAGGTAAAATTGCAAGAGGGAAAAGGTCACAGTTTGGTTAAATGTCCGTTTTACCGCCGGTGTCAGTACCGGCGCTCTGGCACAGCGCGTCCCCTCCGCCACCCGACGCGCAGGGGCTCATCACCTGCTGTCTTTTCCGAGGACTGCATCTTGTCAGTCATTATCATGTGACAGCGACTAGTCGATGACAGGTAAAAAAAGTCACTACAGAGCCGTGATGTCGACTGGTCGACTAGTTCATACAACCCCTACTAGCAGGCAAGGTTGGTTAATTGTCTTGCCCAAGAACACAGCAGCAGAATTCTCTGACAACCTTCCAATTACTGGACAACTCCCTCTACCTCCTGAGTTACTGCTGCCCACACTGTAGGATTAAAAATAATATTCAGTCTTTTTAAAAGTTTGGGTGTTTCAAAGGATAAGTAGACATTTTGGATCTAGAAGTTCCCCCAGGATTTAGATATTAAAACTCCAATTTGATTTGCTAACCCGGAGTTTAGTTTAGATCATGTTTTGTCAAGAACTCAGTTAACATTGAACCTGTGATGTTCCTGTTTCTTTTGCAATTCCAAGACGTGTTACTTTACGACCTTGTCTGAGTTATTTATCAAGCCTGATACATTACTAATGCAATCCCGTGGCTTTTATCTGATTGCAGTAACATCAACACACTTGACAGTTCACTGTCCTGTACTGACTCCCAGGAGAGGTGACACTTCCCCATGGGTAGACGTTATTGGACAAAAACGGAGACACGATTTGCCAAACCTCTTTTTCTAATCCAAGACAGTACTGAATGTTCTATTTCTCCCTGGTCAATCATCTGCTTGTGGTTCTAAGAAAAGCTCCTTTTTTTTCAAATAAATATTGTCGACCCGAAACACCTTTGTAAATGTGTAATACAATATTTGACCTTTAAGTTTATTTTTTAGGGATCTCTGAAGAGGTGATGAGGTTGGACATATTTACGATAAAGCCCCAGAAGGTTAATTAAAGGTCCAGTTTTCTATTATTTTTTTTTAAATTACAGGATAAAGTAAGGAATAACTGTGGAGTTGCTTTTTCCAATGTGTGGTGGGTGGGTGGACTTGGGTTTGGGTGAGAGGTGTGCGGGCAGGGGGGGGGGGGGGGGGGGGGGGGGGGCAAATGGGCAGTCTCGCCTTGGGCACCAAATTACCTAGAGCCTGCCCTGTAAACAAACACTAAAAGCTTTCACCAATTTTGCTGTGAACTAATGTCTAAATCATCAGGAAATCTTACAAACATGCAGACCACTCATTCTTTCTGAATGGCTCTCACAACAGCTGTTCTAACAAGGCTCAAGTTGAATAGGAAACTTTAATATTCTGAATAATGAGCTAAAACAATATTCAAAAAGTGCTTCAATGGTCTCCCTAGTTACCAATCTCATGACTGCAGAAGTCCATGCAAATGTGACAATGATGAGTGGGCATACAAATCCAGCCCTGTCACCATTGTCAGACTGCTCCGACAATCGGATTTGAGAAACAAATCCCATGTGGAAAGTGTAAAACAAAACTGACTGTAGACTTTTTCTAAGAAATGAGACAAGGAGAAAAAATAGTATTTGAAACAGATTTACAACTAGAAATAATAGAGAGTTCTGTTATTATCACAGTATGTTTATTTTATGCAATTATATGTAAATGCAGATTTTGTGTCTATTTAAAATCAAACAATCAGATTTTCTGCATTTCTTTAAAAACATTTTTTCTCTCACAGGCGAGGTTTACCTACCGTTGTTTGTGGGTGGGGAAACCTGAAGAATCCCTTATTTCCCCCAACGTAGAGAAACCACTAAGGTGGTGATTTTCATGTCACAATAAAAGCTCGGAGCTGTTTTGTTTTTATGAAAATCTCAGCCATGTCACTCTGACACCAGCACCATGATGGTTCAAATGCAGCTTTGCTCAATGACTCAAGACTTTAGTCATTCTACAATAACAATTAAATCTTCTCAATGTCACAACATCTGTAGTTTTCTACATTAAACGAGACAAAATCAGGTAAACTTTCTGTAGAAAACAGGAACCTGAAATGAATTATTCCTGGGTTTGTTGTTGACAAAGTATTTGACTGTGTTGAAGTAACCAGAGATTTTGTTTATACAGATGCAAATGTTTCATCCTTCATCTGTGTGAGAGGAAAAATATAAAGTCCTAGACTCAAAGGAGCTGAACACAGACTGAAGCAGGATGGAGAAGATCGTCTTCAGAGTGATCATTGTTGCAGGTGTATGCTGTCTGTCTGCCAAACACGTCCATATCCAAAAATACATTTCTTGGGCTGATGCTCGAAAGTACTGCCAAGCTAACTTCATCAACCTTTCACCTCTCACCAGTCAGCTGGAGGAGCAGGTGTTCAGAGACACAATGGGTGAAGAAGGCATTAGAGGATGGATCGGTCTCTACTGGGATCAAGTCAACAGCTCATGGAAATGGTCAGGAGGTGACATTTTCAGGTCTTGGACAGATATCTACAAAGACATGAATTCTGATGATAAACTACCTGCAGACAATCTACCTAAAGCAAATAACATTTTGTGGACCAGAAACAAATGGATTTCTCTAGATGGTACTTCCACCCATAGGTTTTTCTGTTTGAACCTGACTGCAGTCCAGCAGGAGAAGACCTGGGAGGAGGCTCTGGAGCATTGCAATGAGAACCACTCCAACTTCACCAGCCTGCTCTCTAAGACTGAGAACCTTCTGGCTATGAATGAGATCAATAAAACTGGCATCAATGAGCCGGTGTGGATCGGTCTGCGTTACCTTGGAGACAGATGGCTGTGGCTGAACGGTGACCCTCTGGTGTACCAGGCTTGGTCCCAACGAGGAGACCAGGACCAGCTGTGTCCAGTGACGAGACGCTGTGGAGCTTTAACCAAAAACGGAACGTGGGAGAACCGGGACTGTCAGGAGAAACTCCCCTTCATCTGTGCCTGAGTGTCTCCAGTTGCTGAGTCTCATCCTGAGTGTGAACTTAAACCTCCAGCTGCCGTTCACCTTCTCAAGAAGCTTCCTGACTCTAAAATAACAGCATGTATGGATTTTAGCTTAAAACTTTAATTACAGCGGTTGTAGTAGATCCTGTACTCACTAATAAACTCCATGTAAGTGTGTGTGAGCACTGATTTAAAATTTCTGCTTTTCTTTCACATTTATAAACTCTTTCAGATTGACAAACGTAACTTTTAGTAATAAATCATTTAATTGTTATTTAATACTGAAATGTGAGTTTCAGTTAAACTGGGTGTGGGGAAACTCTGGCTGAATAGGGTTCACACCTACCCTCACACCTTGGCTCATAGAAGATCATCAGGGAGTCTTTTGTTCCCTCTTCGGGGGAAACTCCCCCGGGGTATAAATCTGGGACTCTCCACCATTTGACCTCAGAACTGAAAAAGCCTCTTGGATGAGAGGTGAAACGTCTTCAAGCTACTCAAAGGAGTCCAGACGCTTTTCTTTCAAGCTCATTATACTTTATAGGTTAATGTTTATCTGCCCTCCTGCCAAGCTCTTTCCCTTCCCATTTAGTTAATTGTTTCCACCAGTTTCTCCTCAGCTCACACTCCTCACATCTGTCACCTGTTTGCCTGATTACCTCCCTCTGTGTTTAAAAGCCTTGTCTTGTCACTCTGTATTTGTTGGTTCATTGCATTCGTCAGCGTGTTTCTGTCCTCCTCGTGTCTTCCTAGTCCGTGCTCATGAATGAGTTTCTGTTTGTTTTGGTTCATTCAGTAAGATGAAGTTTGGTTTGTTTTTTTTAGTGCTTTTGGACTTTGGCACATCCTCCTTTAAAATAAAGGATTAATTTCTGAAGACTTCTCCTGCCTTGAGTCGTTCTAGGTTCTGCATTTTGGTTTCCACCTCCCCCATCCTGAACGTGACAGTTTCCCTAGTTCAGACCTGCTCACAGAGATGAGTCTTCTTCATTACTTAGTAAAGTTTTCTTATGCTGATTGGAGTAAGTCACACCCATCTACTTCTAGACCACGGGTCCCCGGAAAAACAAATGAATGCAAGTCAATGGGGCTAAAAACGCTATTTTCTAATTCCGCTTGTTACAGTGGGGCAAAAAAGTGTGGCGAGCAGGGCCACTTATCAATTTAGAAACAACGCCACCTGATTATCAGGAACCAAAACGACTGAAACTAAGGCACATTAGTTCATTTTTACAAATCAAGCTTGAGACGGAGTTCCATTCCACACAAACAGATTTTATTCAAAGAATAAAATGAGTTTAAAATAATCTAAAAACACCATGCACCTGCAGATCAACACTGCTTAAAACCAAATCAACTTAGGCTGAGGCTGACTAATGGGGCTGCCTAAGAGAGCCCAGAACTAAATACCAACCACAAGTAATTTCACCCCAATCACACGTGCATGCATTCGGGGGGTGAAGTGACTCTGGAGCACACGCACACCATCAAAAGGACCACCACCAGGGCTCGACCACCACTGTCAGCTCACAGCCTAAATGAAAAGAAAACAGAAAACAGTAAAAATCCAAATCCACACATACACACACACACACACACACACACACACACAGCCACGACTGAGCAGGCAGGCCGTCAGGGAATGAGCGAGCATACAGCTCGCCTGCACACAAGTCTATTAGCCTGCGCCTCAGCCGTCCTTATGAGCTCCCGGGCAGACGACAACTGCCGGTAGGGCCCGCAGCCCCTCGTTAGAATACCCAACCCCATAGCGGGTGTACGCCCTCCGCTGGTATACGGTACATAGGAGCGAGTGACAAAGCCGCTCCCGATGGTCTCCGCTGATCCCGTCAACCAGTCCGAGCAGCGGGGTGGAGAGGTCTTGGAGCCGGATGATGGTCCAGCACCGGGTCAACAACCGGTAATAGAGATCTCACGAAACTGTGCAGAAAAGCAGCAGAACAGCAGAACAACAGAGTCTCCTGTGGAGACACACCCCTTCCTGGATCACTTCTTTGAAGCACATAGGATAAAAGAAGCCTTCCGTTACTCTGGGAGGACCACATACAACAATTCAGTCCGACACGCCGGAGTCCCGTACACAACAGCTCTTCACACATGAAGCGGAAGTTAAGCCAAAGTAAAAGATCGCTGTAGCGCCACCTCAGGCCCTATTTATATGAGCGCCTTCCCTCAATGATAGGTCGTCCAATTACTCGGTGGCAGGTGACTCATCCCACTACAATCCACCCCCACCAAATAGATCGTCGCCCCGACGATTACTCACCAAAGCCTGGGATTCATTCCCATGGTCTAAAAACTATCCACCTCATACCTGATATGTCCGCAGTCAGGGGCTCAGCTTGTTGCTCTGACCCTCCTACTGGTCTAGGGAGATGATGGGGGTTGGAGTGCCATCCAGCAGTGCGCCTCTGAGTTCGCCGGACATTAGTTTCCGTTACTGCAGGGCAATGGGCAACTGACGTAGGTTGCAAAACAAGTGGGACGGCTTGGGTCACCATTAACTCAGACTCTGTGGGGCCTGTGGGACTAACCACTGTGGGAGCTGGTTGTGCTACTGCCCTCGGTGCCCCCGGTGTAACCTGATCCACTGTAGTGGTCGGTGTCGGGACTGTCGCATAATCCTGAAATTCCAAAACAAAAAGGTCACTCTCATCAAGGTCACTATCCATTGAGAGCTCCCCTTCATCCTCCCGTTGGACAGACAACTGTGGAGGGGTAGCAGTGTTCTCCAGTGGAGTGGTTCCTACCAGTGGCTTCAACATGCTACGATGAACATGTCTGACCTTGGTCTGATCCTCCACTGGTGCCACTCCATGCACTGGGCTTCCCTCCTTTGGTGCTTTCACCACCACATGTATCACTGGGCTCCACAGATCATGGATCTTATGCCGACCCTTTATGCCATGTTGCCGCAGTAGCACCTGCTGGCCCTCAGCCAGAGGGGAGCTTTTGACCCGCTGATCTTGGTAGGTTTTCCTACGCTGAGCCGCTGCTGCCATTCTCTCTCTTGCCCCCTGAAAGGCAAACTGCAGCCGGCTCTGATGTTCCTGAACCCAGTTCTGGACATGGCCTCCCACTGGGTCCTGGACACGACCAAGCAGGAAGTCCACCGGTAGCCTTGGCTCCTGTCCAAACAGAAGAAAAAAAGGAGATTCCCCTGTGGCCTGGTGGGGAGTGGTGTTATATGAGAACAGCAGCTGTGGCAAGTAGGAACTCCAGTCTCGTTTATGAGAGATGGGTAAAGTGCGAAGCAAGTTATGGAGTGTTCTATTAAACCGCTCGCACTGTCCATTACCTGATGGATGGTATGGAGTGGTTCGGGACTTCTTAATCCCATACAAAGCACACAGCTGCTGAATGAGAGTGCTCTCGAAGTTTCGGCCTTGGTCTGAATGTATCCGTGCGGGAACGCCGAACTTCAAGAACCACTCAGTCACCAAGGCCTGTGCCACAGTAGAAGCCCGCTGGTCTTTAGTAGGGACAGCCAGTGTATATTTGCTGAAGACATCTGTCATCACCAGGACGTTCTCACACCCGTCACCAGAGGGCTCCAGCACAGTGTAATCTAGGGCCAAAACCTCGTTTGGCCGAGAGGCCAACAAATGTCCCATGTAGGCCTGAGGCCCCCGCTGGGTATCCTTGGCAACCTGACATCTCTCACACTTACTGCACCACTGCTCCACATCACCAGTCATGTTAGGCCAGTAGCATCGGTGTCTGAGCAGCTGCAGCGTCCTCTCAACCCCTTTGTGGCCATGCTTCTGATGAAGTTCAGTAAGCACTTCCTCCCTCAGGGCGGCGGGCAACACTACCTGCAACACCCCCTCAGCCTCCCGGGGGAGCCAGATCTGCCGGTACAGGACCCCATCCTTCTCCACCAACCGGTCCCACTGTTTGAGGAGGACCAACGCAGCCGGAGACAACTGGAGTCTATCCTCACGGGTGGGATGTCTCTTTTCTATTCAGAATGCCCTGATTTCAATAAGGACTGGATCAGCTTGCTGTAAAACACAAAGGTCAGCCTGATTAAAATGAGGCAATGCAAAGACAGCAGCCTGAGCCACCTCAGACTGGTCAGCCTGTAAAACCTGCTGCAGTGGCGTTGGGAGGGGTGTTCCTGGGAGCATTGCTGCTAGCTCTTGTCTGCCGGGTGCATTTTGCCTAGACAACGCATCTGCGTTTCTGTTGCTCCTCCCCGGGCGGTACTTTATTTTAAAGTCAAAGGAAGCCAACTGAGCAGCCCAACGCTGCTCAGTGGCCCCCAACTTTGCAGATGACAGGTGGCTTAGCGGGTTATTATCTGTGTAGACAATACACAGATGGCCCAGCAAATACTCCCTAAACTTTTCAGTCATTGCCCACTTGAGCGCCAAGAACTCCAACTTCATGGAGCTATAGTTGGCCATGTTGCGCTCAGGGGGCCGCAACCCTCTGCTAGCGTAGGCTACAGGCCTCACCTGCCCTTGCTTCTCCTGCGATAGTACTGCGCCTAAACCCCCATAACTAGCGTCCACCTCCAAAATAAAAGGGAGGGAGAAGTCAGCATAGGCTAGCACCGGTGCAGTGACCAATTGACCCTTTAAAGCGTCAAAGCTGTCATTACACAACCTGGTCCAGCACTCGCCAATCTTCTGCCCTTGCCGCCGGCCAGACTTTGCACTCCCCAGCTCCGCAACCAACCTGTGAAGGGGGCAGCCAACTTGGCGAACCCCTCCACGAACCGCTGGTAATAGCTGGCAAATCCTAGGAATGACTGCAGATCTGACACCGTCACAGGGATAGGCCAGTTGGCCACCACTTCAACCTTGGAGGGATCTGTAGCAACACCCTTGTCCGAAATCACATGCCCTAAGTACTGTACCTCCTGTCGAAAGAAAGCGCACTTCGGCAGCTTCGCCTTTAGCCCCTCTCTTTGCAGCCACTCCAGCACCATCTCCAGCCTGTCCAGATGTTGCTTGATGGTGGAAGAGTAAACAGCAATGTCATCCAAATATAACAATAAGGACTGGCACTGTTGGTCCCCAAAGAGTCTTTGCATTAGCCGTTGGAAGGTGCTGGGGGCGTTACAAAGACCAAAAGGCATGCGGTTCCATTCGAACAACCCAAAAGGGGTACAAAAAGCTGTTTTGGGCTTATCTGT